TGTCAATCATTTGATAATGATGATCTCCATCGAGCTGAAGGTATGGTTTGATGGAGAAAGTATTGGCATGACCGGTAATCTTTATAAGCTGTTCTTCACCGACTCCCGCTTTTGCAAGTTGCGACACTGCAGTTGACCGTAATGAATGATTACTAATCTTCTTTTTCTTTATGTCGATGCCTATTTCTTCTGCGGCGGTTCTTGTCCATTTCCCCATTTCATTCCTTCCAACGGGTGAATTTTTGAACCATCCTACAGAACTAGGTTCTCTCCATGCAGGATTTGGCGTTAAAAATAAACGATCGGTGGTTATATGTTTACCTCTCTTGCTCAGCATTTTTTTGTAGAGCCTTAAATAATAAAATAATTATTATTTTGTATTTGAAACAGTATTTAATTACCTAACAGGGCAAATTCTAGGATCTGTGGTGTTTGTTGCAAGCCATTTGCTGTCTGTTAATTTATGGCTACCTCCTTGAGCTGTTTTGGAAAAAATACAATTGTATTCTATTCGCCCCGTAGGCAAACCACAATTATCACTTTCTTCCTTAAAATGTTTGATAGTAACGTTAACACCTTCACATCCCCTCCAAGCTAATTCTAATCCAGCCACATAAAAAAACATTTTCTGTAAACCATCTGGCGTGTCTTCGTTATAAATCTTTAGAATCTTGTTGTATTCTTCTAGAGTCAAAATTGAGGAACTAGTTTTGCGTTTTTCCGGTTGTATTTGTAGGTTCCGGCGTTTTGCGTCGCGTGCATTTCTACTACCCTTGAATTCCAGGTCAACAAAAGGATCAAACTTTATACCAAATTTATTGAAATACAGTTCTTGCAACTGCTTTGCCGTTACATTCCACATCGTTTTTATTACTGCTTCTTTGTAGTCATTACCATCGACTTTTTTCATATTGTACCCCCAATCTTTGAGGATGAATGCTAGTTTTTCCGTGGAAGTGTTTCCATCAAAAACATATTTGCGTTCACCGCAAAACTTCTCAAATTGCCTCCAGATTGAATTTCGTGAGTTCTTCGTATTTAGCGGCGTAATGTTTGTAATAGAATCATCAATTTCTTTTGGCGTGTTACGACCAAAACGAAAATTGGACATGGTTTTTTAAACCCACACAAATTTTGCAAAATGGCTGTTCTTATTTACTTGCGTCGCCATAGTATCGCACACCAAACTACTTCGTAAATCATTATAAAATTATTTTTAAAATGTTTGTTCTTGCAATAATCTGTTGAATATATTGCGTGCATCACAATGAAATCGATAATTTTGAACAACAATAATCTCTCATGCTTGTTGCCTAAGAAAAATGCACTCGTGCTAAAGCACTCGTGCGTTTTCAATGCAACAAGCATTCGAGTTATTGTTGCTCAAAATTATCGATAACATTGCGATGCACTTAATATATTATAACTGATTATTGCACTCACATGTCACATGATGTCAACTGACCAATCAAACGCGTCAATATTTGTAAATTCAACCAATCAGCATACAATTACGTGATAATTGCACACTGTGCAATTACCACTACCGATAATTATCACTAGCCAGATGTGCCAACTATAAGATAAGCAAGTACCAGTTAATTGCAAAAAAAAACAAGAGGTTACTAACCAATTATTTAATTATGAAACTAAGAATTGTAATTAATTATGGTACAGTTGTAGTAATTTACAGGGGTTTGTGTGCTTGGTGAAGTAGTAACTATATTTTTAGACATTTGTACCAAAGCAGACGGTGCGCAATTTGTGGATTTGTTATTAGACTCTTCCATAGCCGTTGAGTTGGCGCGTAATTTGTCAATCATTTGATAATGATGATCTCCATCGAGCTGAAGGTATGGTTTGATGGAGAAAGTATTGGCATGACCGGTAATCTTTATAAGCTGTTCTTCACCGACTCCCGCTTTTGCAAGTTGCGACACTGCAGTTGACCGTAATGAATGATTACTAATCTTCTTTTTCTTTATGTCGATGCCTATTTCTTCTGCGGCGGTTCTTGTCCATTTCCCCATTTCATTCCTTCCAACGGGTGAATTTTTGAACCATCCTACAGAACTAGGTTCTCTCCATGCAGGATTTGGCGTTAAAAATAAACGATCGGTGGTTATATGTTTACCTCTCTTGCTCAGCATTTTTTTGTAGAGCCTTAAATAATAAAATAATTATTATTTTGTATTTGAAACAGTATTTAATTACCTAACAGGGCAAATTCTAGGATCTGTGGTGTTTGTTGCAAGCCATTTGCTGTCTGTTAATTTATGGCTACCTCCTTGAGCTGTTTTGGAAAAAATACAATTGTATTCTATTCGCCCCGTAGGCAAACCACAATTATCACTTTCTTCCTTAAAATGTTTGATAGTAACGTTAACACCTTCACATCCCCTCCAAGCTAATTCTAATCCAGCCACATAAAAAAACATTTTCTGTAAACCATCTGGCGTGTCTTCGTTATAAATCTTTAGAATCTTGTTGTATTCTTCTAGAGTCAAAATTGAGGAACTAGTTTTGCGTTTTTCCGGTTGTATTTGTAGGTTCCGGCGTTTTGCGTCGCGTGCATTTCTACTACCCTTGAATTCCAGGTCAACAAAAGGATCAAACTTTATACCAAATTTATTGAAATACAGTTCTTGCAACTGCTTTGCCGTTACATTCCACATCGTTTTTATTACTGCTTCTTTGTAGTCATTACCATCGACTTTTTTCATATTGTACCCCCAATCTTTGAGGATGAATGCTAGTTTTTCCGTGGAAGTGTTTCCATCAAAAACATATTTGCGTTCACCGCAAAACTTCTCAAATTGCCTCCAGATTGAATTTCGTGAGTTCTTCGTATTTAGCGGCGTAATGTTTGTAATAGAATCATCAATTTCTTTTGGCGTGTTACGACCAAAACGAAAATTGGACATGGTTTTTTAAACCCACACAAATTTTGCAAAATGGCTGTTCTTATTTACTTGCGTCGCCATAGTATCGCACACCAAACTACTTCGTAAATCATTATAAAATTATTTTTAAAATGTTTGTTCTTGCAATAATCTGTTGAATATATTGCGTGCATCACAATGAAATCGATAATTTTGAACAACAATAATCTCTCATGCTTGTTGCCTAAGAAAAATGCACTCGTGCTAAAGCACTCGTGCGTTTTCAATGCAACAAGCATTCGAGTTATTGTTGCTCAAAATTATCGATAACATTGCGATGCACTTAATATATTATAACTGAAAAACACACTTACTATGTATAAGTATAAATTAAGCCAAAGTAACATACCTTATTTATTTGAAGTTCTTAAAACTATTAAATTTATATTTTGTAGCATAATCTTAATTTTAAATTTTTTCAGTGTAATAAGGCATTCTAACGCCAATTATTATTGCTACCTTATTATTTACAAAATATAAAAAAACACAAATTAATGTTGTTCATTATTTGGAGACTTCAGTGAAATAGTTGACTATATTTTTTTCTATTCATATCTTCAAGATAATGAACAGGTCTGAAGAAATTGGGTCATTCGAAAATAAAATGTAACAAATTTAAAAATACATTTAATATTAAGACGTGTTCTACATCAGCGAAAATTAAATTTAAACATTGTTTTAAAATTTGGATGCATTATTAAATTTAGTCCGTGCGATTCGAAAATAATACGAATTAGAATTGGCTCTGGCATCGGATTATTCTGGCCGGTTACCTAGCGGTGTCAAAAAGTAAACACTTGCAGCAGAATTGAATGAGATTACGTTCCCCTGCCCATCTTTTCACTGTTTCGGCAATAACTGCACATGAGAAATTGAAAACAATATATCAACAGCCAGTGACAAAATGTTATTAGAGTTGACAATTAATTACGTCAAATTGAGGGCAGTAGTACCACCCAAGTTTGACAGGCGACGCCAACTCTAATCCATTGAGAAACTTTGTAAATTTTAAGGGTGAACAGAGTAACGGTTTTCTGTTATTTTATAGTCCAGAACTGGGTGTAAATTTGCAAAGAACGGACAAAATCGATCAGCAATGGTTTTTGTTGTAGACCTTAATTAAGACCCACCACTGACCCGGAAATGACCGGCATTCAGGCAAGACTTCTATCATTACGGGTACTAAGACCAAGTAATGATATGCATTGATTAGATTAACAGAACAACTTTCGAGATTCTAGAATTACAGCATACAAATTAGTCTGCTATTATTCTCTAATCTCACCCCATCCCCAAAAGTCTAGCCTAACTACCGACCATTTATCGGCGCATCACATGAAAAGTGACCTACACTATTCTGACCTACTGGTGCTAATCTAATCTGACTGACATGATCAGACTGTTCAAGAAACTTACTTATTATTAATATTTTAAATTATTTATTTAATATTATTTAATGATCTAACAGTTTTTAAACACTGGAGTGCCGGCAAACTATAAACGACAGCGAAAAGGGCTGATTGACTAGGGCGGGTTACACGATAGAATATTTTTGCTGCATGCAAAAGATGAATTCCTCTTTGTCCATACTTATTAAGGCTTCCAAGCCCCAATTTTAGACGCTGTTACTATAACTTACTGCACGGAAACAAATATTTGCGTTTGGGTTTAAATACTTAAGCAAGCCAAATTTAATGGTATTACAATGTCAGATACTTTTTGTAGGAAAGGTCAGTTACATGTTTCACAATTTGCTCTGTGATTTTTAAATTTAAGTTACGACCTTGAGACAGAAATGTTCCCACACAGTAAATTATTATCTTTTTGTTAAAACTGTTGGCATATCTAGGTTTTATTTTTTTATTTATTCGTGTTTTCTAATCGTATTAGTACTTATATCATAATTACTTTTTCCAAAATTTACTATATAATTTCCACTATAGACTTGGTGTTTTACACGTATAAAATTTACCGTGCAGAGCAAGTATCCAAAACAAATTTTATTTTGGTGATTCAGGGACGTATTATAGCATATTTCCGTTCATCTTATTTTTTTAGGTTACTACCGACGTTAATGATCTCGATAAAGACGAAGTGAACATAATTAGCGGCGCTTTGGAACTCCGTAAAAAAACCGTCGTCGACGTAATGACTAAGATCGAAGATGTATTTATGTTGGACTACGAAGCAGTTTTGGACTTCGAAACCGTGTCGGAAATTATGAAGTCAGGTTAATTGAGTTATCTGATCGTTTTAAATATTATTTAACAATTATCTTCCTGCAGGATATTCACGCGTACCGGTGTTTGAAGGCAATCGTCAGAATATCGTGACTATGCTTTACATTAAAGACTTGGCGTTCGTTGATCCAGATGACAATACTCCATTAAAGACACTGTGTCAATTTTACCAGAATCCATGCAATTTCGTGTTTGAGGACGTCACACTTGATGTTATGTTCAAAATATTCAAAGAGGGCAATAAAGGTCATATGGCTTTCGTTCATAGGGTTAACAATGAAGGAGAAGGCGACCCGTTTTATGAAACCATCGGTATTATTACTCTTGAAGATGTTATTGAAGAGTTGATTCAGGCTGAAATTATGGATGAGACTGACGTCTTCAGTAAGAGGTTTATACCAATGATGTGGGGATTGTTTCATGTCATGAATATTTCTAGCTGATAATAGGTCTAAGCGACGACGAACCGCTGAAAGAAGACAAGATTTTAGCGTTTTTGCTGAACGGCGTGGGGAAGGCAATAGAATTCGTATTAGTCCACAACTGACATTAGCAACTTATCAATTCTTGAGCACAGGTAAATAAGCTATTATTTATTTATTTCTTATAGAAAAAAATAATCTTTGTTTCAGCTGTTGAACATTTCCTTCCCAGTGTTATTTCAGAAACAATTCTGAAACGGTTGCTTAAGCAAGACATTGTCTATCACATTAAAAAGAACAAGGAGTGGCGCACAGATCCAACTAATATTATCTATCAGCAAGGGAAAAACTCTGATTATTTTGTACTTATTTTAGAAGGACGTTGCGAAGTGACAATCGGTCGAGAAAATTTAACGTTCGAAGCGGGACCGTTTACATTTTTTGGCACCCAAGCTCTTATACAAAGCATTGGGATTGGTAAGTTTCCGCGAGCACTAATTGGACAAATTTCTAAGTTGACTTTTAGCGGAATCACCATCTGCACCTACTTCCACCCTAGGTAGTCTAGAATCACTGAATTTAGACGCCTTGATCCGTCACACTTTCCAACCTGATTACACTGTTCGTGCATCGACAGAAGTAATTTATATTCGTATTAAGCGTAGTCTATATCTGGCAGCTAAAAGAGCTACTTTGATGGAGAGGTCGCAGCGCGATCATACCAACGAACATTTTGATGAAGAAGTTGATAAGGTTAGCTCGCGTTACGAAATTAATGAAGTGCTGAAAATTATGTTGTAGCTTCTTCATTCGCTGGAGGAAGACGATGCGGAAAGTGGCGGACGAAGAACCCCAAGAAAACGTTCTTCAAAAAATCTGAATCAACAACAAGAGATGAATCTGAGTCCAAAGACTCCTTCGTTGTATTCAAATGTGAGTCCTCCACATAGGATAAGTCAAAGAGATATTAATGGTTCGGTGATATCGAGTCCCGTTGAAGACTCTCATCTTACGAAAGACGAAGAAGTTTCACTCTTGTCGAAAAAGTCATAACATAGACACACTGACTCTGCCATAACAGAGTCACACTTGTACTTAATTTCTCTGTTAAAAGTTTCTCTAGGTTAAGCAGAAATTCCTTACCTCTGTAACAACCTGGTAGGTACAGATTAAAAATTTTATTGTTAGAGTTGTTGAAGTTACATAAAAGAAATAGTGACAATTACATGTAAGCTTTCATGAAGATATAGATTTATAGTTTGGGAAAATTCTCTTGTTTCATAATATAGTAGGTAAATTGAATACAGTAACGAGACCGAGAGAATTAATCATGAACTTGGCTCCACTAGGGCAATGCCAAGTTGCCTAATATTTTTATATTATAGGTACGTTAATTATAATTCAAGTTATTTACAATTGTATTCCGAATGTTGTCTAAACCTTATATGAACATGTGATGTTTTGTGTTTTATTTTCGCTTTTATTTTTACTTTGATTGTTGCTGATGCGGTACAACACATGTAAAACCCGGTTACAATTTACGTGATTATTTTTGTTCATATGAAGCATATGTGCAATCTAACATTAACTAACTCATAAAGGTACTTAACGGCCGAAACTAACTTCGAAATGAACCAGAAAAAATATTGTGATTTTTGTTTGCATGTACTAGTTATTGTATAGTTGTAGAAAGAAATTCATACTTATTATGTTTTGTCATTTATGATGAATTTAACTTTATTTTTGTGTTACTTTTTATTTTATCAGCGTTTTGTTATATAATAAATAAAATGAAGTAGTATGGTTTTTTGTTTTTCACGCTAAGCAAAAATTTGTGGGTAGAGTCAAGGATTAGAGTGACAGACTAGCAAAGTTTACACGTCTGAAATTATTACAGTTTGACAAAATGATAATCCGACGTGAAGACTTTTTTGTTCCTTAATTCATAGAATGAAACGTTTAACAGTTTTTTTTTAATTCCATAATAATTCGAATAACTAAAAATTACTAAATTTTATGGTAAAATCTCAACTGATTTTAACATGTTAAAAATGTAAAATTTATGCACAAGTCACTTTAATACTTCGTTCGCAGAACACCTCAAGAAAATTGTTCTTTGTTGTACGAAGAACAGATAACTTTGTCGTGAACATTATAGGAACAAGTTGCATATTTTCAAAGAAAAGCAAATCTAAATATAGTTCAACCCTGGAGTCGAGTCCGGCCCTGAATTCATATTAGAACTTGGAACTTCCCGTGAAAACACAGTCGATATAGTAGATCTCATTACTGTTAGTTTGACATTTAAATATATTATGATAAGTGAATGTTTGATGTGACAATTATAGAAAAAACAAATAAATTTTTGTGTTGTCAGTAATTTTCTGTGAAGAAGGTGAGTTAATTCAAGTTGGCTTAAACTCCTGCATCGGCTCTTACTTTAACCTCAATTTTTTTATAATAGGCAATGTTGCCTCCTCAACAGCTGATTTTCATAACCAATTCAACACACTGAGTAAATCAGATTAAAATTTGTACAATGGACACCTTTTCTGCTAATATTGAATTAGAATGGATTGACCATACTAACACCAGTTGGTCAATAAAAGACTGTGATAGCATATCCAATAGAGATCTAGTGCAATCAATGTATGACTTGTTGATACAAAATAAGGAAGTACGCTTAATACCAACGACATTATCTTTATTTAACGACGTTCAGATACTCCCAAGTTTTCAATATGAGAGCGCGTCTAACGTGGAATTAAATCATTACATAGCAACTCTTCTAACATCCCAATTTGATTTGGCAAAAAATGTGTGCTCATCGAGCCAATTTGCTGTCGTTTTAAAGCAGAGGCTTTTAATATTGAGGCGAATTTTTTACGCTTTGACAATGAAGTATCACGATAAAGAAAAGAGCGACCAATCAGTAAACGAAAATAACAATTCAAATGCACTGTCTAGAGAAACACTTTCAGGCTCCCAAGCCCTCCTAGAAATTGGAGTTAAAACAGGCTTAAGTCTGTTATTCTCACTGCTAAGACAGAATTGGCAGGTTAGCGATATCCTCAAGGTTCCTTCATTGTGTAACTCAGTGCTTGAGACTTCATTCGAGCTATTACAAAAACTTCCCTCTTTATGTCTTTCCAATGACGTGCAACTTACAAATCTTGGTATCAGCAGCTTGGAACAAGTCTCAGATTTTCTCAAGGATTCAGTGTTGCATTCACCTAATGCTGATCCACAAGGAAGATTACTTTCATGTAAATTATTGCTGGCGCTTGCTTTGCAAAGAGGTTCTTTGAGGTACTTACTAGATTGGATTGAAATGGCTTTGGATGCTTCAAGCAAAGACGGTGAAGCCATTGCCGATTCTTTTTTTAAAAACGCGATCTTGCAGTTAGAAGGGGGCAAATACAAAATCAAATCAGATTTGTGGAAAAATCATGATAATATACAAGTCACTGTCTATGAGGCTGCCATTAATTTAATGGAGATATTAGCGAGTATGGCGATTGATTTTGGAGGAGTTTGTTCTGCTGTGGAGTCCACAAGCTCAGAATTCGAAGTTGGGGTGTATGAAAAGAGTGATGTTTATGTTTGGGGTAGCAATTCATCACATCAATTGGCAGAGGGAAATCAGGAGAAGATTCTGATGCCAGTGAAGTCAAAGATGTTCACCCAAGTACAGCAGGTAAGTTTGTATTATTGGCCATGGAACTGGCCCTATGTAACACTAATGTCATCTGATCTGCATTTTGTAATCAATTTTTGGAAATCAGCACATCCTGTATCAAATATTTACTTTTCAATTATTCTTTCTAATTCTAGAAAACCATGTCTAAAACTATAGATAACGTTTATTTGCTAATAATTAACAATTTTAAGATAATGGATTGTAACACTAAAGATAAGCACTGTATTAGTTTAAAGAAATCATGTTATGTGTGTAACTGATTCCCAAACACTAATAAAACAAAATTTATTAATTAGTTAAAAAGTAATTCTGATATGAAGTGGAAGAATAAATGTGAAATAATAGTACATAGTAATAAGGATTAGAGCGGTGGTAGAACAAGACACTGAAAAAAATAAAATTTGTATACATAAAAATAATAACAACATGTAAAAGAGCTTTTTCATATTAGTATCTTTATTTTTCACTGGTCAAAGGGATGTCGTCAATCATTTTTTTTTATAGAAGCAGATCATGTTCTATTTTTCAACTTAAGCAACTACATAATAAATGCTGAACAAAAAAATTGTGAAATTTAAGATTTTTAAACTTTCCAAATACTGATGGCGTTATTAAAAGTTAAGAAATTATACTTAACAGTCCCGAGGAAATTAGTTAATTTACACGTTCTCGACAGAAAATCAAGAAATCATTGAAGACCAATCGAAACGTTAAATTTTTCTTCCTAACCAACAAATTCCTATATCAGCTTCACCTCCATGCAGCCCGCGGTACATTCACAGCAGAGCAGTGCGCATGCTTACGACGTCCTTTTCTAATTAGTCTACTTATAGATCGATTCTGTAACTTGTTATGTTAATAACATTCTGTTATCACTATGTAAACACAGCTAACATTCTGTTGTTGCTATGTAATAACATATTTAACATAAATTGCAATTCGCTAAGCTTCTTTCTGTTATGTTAATAACATTATGTTATTAAAATACTCTGTAAAATAACAGAGACATTTGAGTCAATGTTATTAACATAATGCGGTTATTTTGAGGTTTATTAATTAATAAAATCACAAATTTGACGACTGAGGTGGCAAAAGAAGTAAAATGACAGAAGTGGATGATTTTCTACCCGTCTTCGGTTACTTACTATTAGAAGACGAAATTCAACGGTAGGTTTTTCATATCATAGTATTACTAAAAATATTACAATACATGTATTATATGAACAGAATGAGAATTCGGCTGAGAGAGCTTCGCGACAATCAAAATTCCTTTGAAAATTTAACAGAGACGGAATTTAGAGAGTCCTTTCATTTTAGCAAAAATATGACCCGTTTCTTGCTGGAGAGGTTGGAACCTCATTTGGGAAATCTACGTGCCAGTGGTATCCCGGGATACTTAAAAATTTTAGCCACATTGAACTCCTTGGGCCATGGCTCCATACCAACACTGCGTAGGAATGTCTTCTTCTGTTGCCATGAGTCAACCATCGGTTAGCAGGGTCATGACTTAAATTTGTCACCTAATTAGTGAAATTTTAATGCCTGTCTGGATCTAGTTCCGAACGACAGCAGAAGCGATAACAATATCTACTAAGCAAAAATTTTATGAAAAAACACATTTTCGTGGTGTATTTGTTTGACAGTGACAGATGATGAAAGTGGTGTCATTACTTCGAAAAATAACATTTTCGGACAAATGACACATCTGTTATTTAGGTACTAACATAACGGTTTACAGAATACGACATTTGTTGTTTTATGTTAACGTCCTGATAACATAGCAATTTTAATAACAGAAATTTAAAATAACATAATGTTAACTGATTGTTACAGAATCGACCTATTAGTCTACCTTGCAAGAATTTATTAAGTACAAGTAGGCACATAACTTCTGAAGTATAATTCATTCTGAAACTTTCTAGGTACTGGCAGTTGCCAAACTTATACTTATAATTACTAAGTACATATAAGTATAATTTGTCAAATGTTACTTGCCATAATGACTGTCTTTGAAAAAATTGACATTGACAATTCTATTTTATGACGTTTAGTACATTTTTTTACATATATTAAAAAAAAAAACTGGACAAGATGAGTAAATTAGGTTCTCATAGTTCATTGAAAATAATAAGACGTTCATGTCATTGTCATTTGTCCAGTTTTTTTTTATAAAATAGTACTTCTTGCTCGTTTACTTAAAAATCTGTGGTTGGAAGACTTTCATTAATTCAGATCTTGTTCTTCACACGAGAACCATTTTCTTTCTGCTGTTTGAATTTTCTAGGAGCTTGCGTAAAATTCTGTTTTGACTTGAGAGAGTTGCAGGGTTGGAAAAAAATTGGTTTAAAAAAAAATCAAAAATCAATGATTTTTTTTAAATCACGATTTTTTGTTTTTTTTATTTTTCTTGGATTTTTTTGTTTTTTTTTGTTTTTTGATTTTTCTTTGATATTTTTTAGTTTTTCGGTTACCCAAAATAATTCAAACTTTAAAAGTAGTAAGAAAAAATCAAAAGTTGTGTGTTAAGTTTGCACTTTTAATTATTTTTATTCAGTTTTTAAAAGCTTCAGATTTTATTTAGTTGTTGTAATTTTCATTAGTCGATAATATTTCTTGGTCAGTATCTCGAGTTCTCTAAGCTAAAAACAGTGGTGAAAACCGCGCTTCGAAATTTCCGTCAATAACAGATATTGATTTTTAAAGATATGTGATGATTTTTTTTTATTGCTCTTGCATTACGTAGCCAAGTTGTGGACAGGTTATATGTAAATTTTCATAACTGTAAGTGTGTTATTATGCGTTGAAAATTCCATACGTCAAACGTAGGGATTTGAAAATAACGTGCGACGATCCTCGATATTGTTTTGTCTGTGGTATTCCTTACAGACTTTGGTTGACTTATTTTTCGAGATTAGGATCCACATTTTTTTATTAAAAAAAAAACTTATTGCGCTCTCGATATAAATAAAATTAAGACGAATCTGTTTTGGTGAGCTATTAGTATTGAAAAGCGATAGTTCTGGCTCAAACCAACTTCATCTATATACGACCCATGGCTGTGCACAGGCTAAAGAAGACTCACACCTTTATATTTATTATTATCACTGTTCACTACCGATTGAAGTGACAATGATAAAGCAGCGGCAAGTGTTAATTAACATGATGGAAGTTTAAATGGGAAACTAATTTCTTGAAAAACATGACATTTCTAAACAAATTTTGTTCTTTACAAATTGTGGTAACTTTTTTTATTACATATAGGTACCTAACTGTGACAATTAATGACAAATAATTTTAAGTACAAATTTTATTGTGTTGAGTTGAAAATCAGAACATCTTCACGTTAAAAAATAATTCAAAGTACGATAGTAGATTATTTCAGTTTTTCTTTAATAAAGTTCGTAGACCATATTTTAAAAAGTATTAGAGTAACAAATTTTCTACGGTTCACGCTTGAATTGATTCATTCGTTTATAGTTGAATGAACTCTATTTCATTCCAATTGCGCTAACTTTTGCACAAAATTTTCAAGATTGATGTTAGCGAATTTCCGACATCCATGACATTTTCCAGTAGTATATGTACTTAATTTATTTTTTATACAGATAATAGTTTTGAAATGATTTCATCGAACTGTTTGAATGGTAACAGGTGTAAACCTATGGTAATTAAAATTCATATTTTATACATAAACACAAGAGTTGGTAACACGCTTATCGCCTTATGATTACAATCCACATCGCATGCTCAGTTTATTCTAAATTTAAAATTGTTAACAATTAGTAAATGTAAAGATAACATAATTAGATAGATAACAAAAATAGTTGTCTGGAAACACTATAAGAATATACCCTGGCTTTCCTTTTTGCGTTTCCTACCTAGACCTGATTCTCATTTGTTTTTGGATGAAGTGATAGATAACGGGTAGCCGTGGGGTGACAACTGTATTTTGAGAATTATTTTTATACTGTTGTAGAATTTTTTTTGTAGCATTTGTGAGACAAAAATTTATACTGCATTGTACACTACATGATTTTATTTATGGTTAGAGCGTTTTGTTATTGAAGTGTACCAATCGCAAAAACACTTATTTTATACTATGTAGGTTATGTTTAAAGAGGAAAGTAGATGACTCAAGTTTCTAGTACGCGTTCTCGTACTCTCAGATTTCTCACATTTCATGTTTAACTTCATCCTTTCGTCGTAGGTTGAAGCTGGTCAATATTGCACCTTCGCTATCCACTGGGATGGCTCAGTAAGCGCGTGCGGCAAAGGAAGTTACGGCCGTTTAGGCTTGGGTGAGTCCTCCAATCAGAGCTTCCCCAAACGCATCCTTCTTGACTCCGTCGTCAAAAAATTATCGAGCTCCAAAGGCAGCGACGGCCACACTCTTGCCCTTGCCGAAAACGGCATAGTGTACAGTTGGGGCGACGGTGACTACGGCAAACTGGGGCACGGTAACTGCGCCACCCATAAGCAGCCTGAACGTGTCTGCGGTCCTTTTATGGGAAAAACTATAAAATACATCAATGCAGGGTATCGGCATAGCGCTGCTGTGACCGACGATGGAAAACTGTACACATGGGGTGAAGGCGACCATGGTCGGTTGGGACACGGGGATAGTAATGGTCGGTATATTCCCACACAAGTGGCCGGGCTGTCAGATGTGGGGTCTGTGGCCTGTGGTAGTTCGCACACACTAGTCGTGTCCAGAGATGGAAAGACGGTGTGGTCTTTTGGGTCAGGGGAACACGGAAAATTGGGAACTGGGGATTTAGGAAAAGTCTACAGACCACAAGTTATCGAAGCTTTGCAGAGTCTAACCATACAGAAAGTGTGTGCTGGAACGTCGTTCTCAATGGCTCTGACGGCATCCGGAGAAGTGAGTGTTCATCACATCAAGAATTTTTAAACGGGGATTGTTGTAGGTTTATACTTGGGGAAGTGGAGCGATTTTGGGACACGGATCGGCTGATGCGTTGTATTATCTGCCGTTGTTTGTGGAGAACTTGGCGCCTCATAGAATTATTGATATCTCGGCTGGCGATAATCATTGTTTAGCGTTGACTAATGAGTATGAGGTGTTTGCTTGGGGGACTAACAGTATGGGTCAGTGCGGACAAGGTCATACTTGTAGCCCTATCACAACTCCAATGAAAGTTATTGGACTGGAGGGAGTTAATATTCGACAGATTAGTGCAGGTGCATTTTAGTGGGAGTTGGAGAGATGCAAATATTTATTCTACAAGCCACTTGAAAGTCAATTTCTTATTTGCATCCCTCACTTTTGTTGCCACCTTATATACATTCTATAAAAATCTCGATTTCAGGCACTTCGCATTCTATAGCATGGACGTCCATTCCAGCTGAAAATCAGCACATGACAAAACACAAACCATTTTGTTTAGATCTACACGAAAAAACTTTCGAGTTACTAAAAAAATTTTTAGAAAAATATACAGTAACTTTTACATACGATACGCCTCCATCTCCTTTTAAAACAGCGACAGAACATCATCGTTTTGTTTTGTTAAGTTTAAAACTTCTTTGTACACATTTAAGTTTGTGCATGAATGGAAATTTGAGCGATAATATTTTGAACAAACACACGAAACAATTACGGACGATCTTATTCAGGTTTGTTTGTTTTTTTTTTTGTGGGCACACTTATCTAAGACAGTTAGTGCAGGTTGGTTGATATTAAGACTCCTACAGAAATTCATGCAACTGTGATTGAACTGATAAATGTGGGAGCATCATTGCTTCTTCCGCAATTACCAGAACGTGTTGAGTTCCTTCATGAACATTTGTCAAAAGACGAAAATTTGTCCCAAGGACAACAAATGTTATTAAATATCGTCTTGAGTAGTTTGGAAGATCCGGCACATATTGCAACATTACTCCGAGAAACTACTAGTCAAGAAAAAAGGCAAAAGTTATTTTTAATCGAAACCTTAATGTATACGCTTCTGCAATCGTTCAGTAAAATTACTGTATGTATAAAGGATTCAATATCATTACCATAAAACTAAACTATTTTTAGGAAGATTCACTTGACAGTATTAAAACGTATATGGAAGAAAAACCGAACAACGAGTGGAGAAATGACGAAAATCCAAGGACTACTCATTTGCAAAAGCTGTTAAGTTCATTACAGAATCATCTTTTGGCTCACATTATAGTCAAAGTAAAACACTCAAAGAATAACAGTTCGAACGCGTTCGAAATTTTAAACACTCATCTTAACCAACTTTTTCCGTTAATAATAAAAGTCTTGAACAAATCGGCGGAAATCCTAGAAAAACATCCGCCGAGTTTGGAGTTGCTTTATAACGTTCTTTTAGATTCCGTAGCCGGTTCGATGTTCCTTAAACTGTTGACTTCTCTTCTTCTCATGCCAGTTAGTTTCGTTAGAAATCTTCTGCCAGAACTCCTAAATATCTTGGCACCGTTGGACCGCTTCAATAAACTCTTGCCAGTAGATATAATGAATGATCTAAGTACGGTTTCGTCAAGTAAGTCACATCACTTAACTAACTAAGTACTAATACAATTTTCACAGGGTCGGAAACACCCACTTTAGCTCAGCTCGCTGATCAGTCGTGGATATGGATGGTCGATTTACAAAGAACCTGTTCTCTGTTAATTGGTCAATGTTTGGGTGGTGTTTTATTGGGAGAACGCTTCACTTTGGAAGAAATGTTTTGTCGGCATTGGATTAACACGGAATTGTTTTCTTGTGGCATAGTCAACGAAGACGTTGACGTTCAGACTGTTATAGATATGTCACATACCGCATCCTTGAACCTTCAAGACGCTTTAGTTATCAGTTTAGAAAATTTGAATCCCACTGTACAAAACTATTGTAAAATGGCGTTTAAATTACCGTATCAGTATGATGAAGCTTGTGCTGTCGAAACGAATTTATTTGAGGATACTGATTTTTATCAACCCGCAATGGAAAATTATCAGTTCGAGTTGTGGGATAGCGATGGGAAACTTGCGGATACGGTTGTGCAGTGTTTTCTCATTACTTTGTTGAAACAAACCGGCTTAATAAAGGAGTCTCCCAAACATCCCGCTTTTAAGGAAGTTTACAAGTATACATTTAAGTTGAGACAGAAGTTAATCAGTACTATTTGTTGTTACAATTACGAAAATGCTGAGAAAAACCAGGTTGCTGAGGAGAAGGAGAAGGAACAAAATGAGAAAACTAGCGATTTATCGGGATTCGATGCAGACGAGGCGGAAGATGAAGAACAGCGATTTACAAACGCTTGCCGACAAATACTACAGAGGTGCTTGTTTCTCCTAATTTTCGTTAAAGGTAAGTTGATGTATTATAAGTGTATTGCTTTCGTTTTAAAATCCATTATTGTGGAGTAGAGAAACATCTTCAGTCTTATTTTTTTATGGCAAAAATTTTGTCAAAGAAAAAGTAATAATATAACTTACACCAAAATACCAATATGAAAAATTTACTAATGGAGAGCCGTATGGTTATTTTATTAACAAATTACTAACAGCGGCAACATTCTGATTACAATTTGTCTTTACATCCGTTAATTTCGCAGGCGTGGAACTTGATTTCTCTGATGGAAGTAGCTCAGACGAAGAAATCGATGCCGACAAGCCTTACACAACTTTTTACAGGGAGAGCCACAACAATCATATTCCTAAAGAATTCACAAAAATATGTTCCCTTTGTTTGAGTTTCGTTTGCAACGAACCAGCCGAAAAAGTGCCATTTATTTCACACGGGACCAGCAAAAATAGCTGGTGTACCGACCCCGTGATCTTCTACAAGGCTCTCATAGCTCAGAAGAATCGAGCTCGAAGCAGACTCGACAGTCTAGAATACTTGCACAAATTAATAACTGAAAAGAAACCGTCACCTACAGTTTCAAATATTGTTCATCCACAATTACTTTCTGGTTACTTTGGTTTTTGTAATTTTAAATCTGAAGACTTTCCCACCTATTTACGACATTACTTAGACCATATTCAAGCGTCACCTTTAAAACTGCAGCAGGAAATTCGAGTTAACATGCATAAAATTTATGACTTTTTGATTAAGTCGCTGCAGCAACAAATTGGTGGAAGTTACGAAAACAGGCAATTATTACTAACAACACTCTTTACTCTAACCGCGAAATACGAACCCGTTGATTTGAATTTTCTCATCTCAAACAACTTGTTGTCTTCATTGATGTTGTTAAATGATGATGACGTAAATAAGACTGACATTCTTAATATTTCTGTGACAAGACTGATACGAATTCTTGCCCTATGTGCGTGCGTACATTCGAAGAAAATCCAACTCGATACTTTACAAAATATTATTGATAAGTTACACGAACAGTTCACTGCGACAGTTGAAAGTCGCGATGAGATTACCGGAGCTAGTTTATTTTCACTCTGTGATAAAAACTTCGGAGATTTTTTGTTGTTTTTACGAATAATTTCGTCAAGTAAGTTAATAAAAGTGTTAATGGCTTCTAAAAAATGGATATATGCGTTGTTGTCGGTTCTGGATACTTGTGACTTAAGTCTGACGTATGCGATTCAACTGAAGCTTATTAGGCCGAAGATGCTGGTTCTTCAAATATTGCAGAATATTTTGCCTTCATTGCAATCGAAGTGGATGCCGGCTGATTTGAAAAAATACGTTGTTAATAAGTTGTTTTCTCAAATGGGTAAAGAACTATGGAAAGAAAGTACTAATGAATCTTTCTCCGAGCGTGTTGTTGATTCGAATGACTTAAAACAAAACGACTTTATCGACAAAGAAGAAGATGAAAATATACCAGTACACGACATGGGTTTTGATATGGATAAGTGTTACAACTGCGTGATCGAAAGTAACTTGACACTTGTTCATGGTTCTGGTGGACGCGGTTACGGTCTAGGATTGCAAGCCATACGCTCTGGTTGTTACCAGTGGAAAATCCTAATTGTGAAAGAAAATCGCGGCAATGAAGGTACTTGCATTGGAGTTTCTAAATATCCTGTGAAGGATTTTAGCCACAGGTCCACTAGTGATATGTGGTTGTATAGAGCTTATAGTGGCAGTCTTTATCACTGTGGTGAAAGAGATACAAGTTTCCAGTGCTACACGCAAGGTGACTATATTACTGTTGTTTTGGACATGGATGCCAAAACGCTAAGTTTTGGTAAAAATGGAGAAGAACCGAGAGTTGCGTTCGAAAATATTGATGCTCCAGAATTGTATCCATGTGTCATGTTTTACAGTACAAATCCTGGCGAAAAAGTGAAGATCACAGACATGAAGGTGGGTTGTTCTGATTGTTTGGTTTGTACTTGGCATGGTCATAGTTACAGGTTCATAGTACGCAAAGAGATTTGTTACCTGGAGAACCCAATTTAGCTCCTTTACCTGCTGTTTTAACAGAAGGATATATCAGTTTAATAAGAAAACTTCATACGTCTAATATTTGGACAAGTGAGGTAGGTAACTTTAGTATTTTAAATTTTATCACCGTCGGTTTGGTTGCCTTATATTTTAATCACTGTTATTAAATTTGAATAAACAGTTGTTAAAATATAAACCAATCAGTGAGACATAAATAAAATTGAATCATACAAATTCTTAGGTGAACACTGCGATTATCGATCGATTGAATTGCATCGAAGACTTATTTGCGAAAATTAAAGTACATAACTGCGACTTTTTGGAAAGAGAAGAAGCCGTTAACAATCGCGAAATTTCCTTTAAAATCAACGAACTTTGTATGAGAGTGTGGCCGGCTTTAGTTATTATCGGAGGTAATATAATTTCTCCATAAAATTTTGTTTTCCAATTTTGAATATTCGTAGGTTTTGATCGAGGTCTAAAAATCGGCGGTTATTGTACCCACAAAGGCACAGGTCGCAAAGCAATTATTTTAGGAATACTGAAAAAAGGAATAACCACTGTTAACGTTCAGTGGGAATCAGATGGAAGTGTTGCCGACGTCGCTATTTCAAACCTAGAGTACCTAGAAACTCCCCCGTTTAACAACAATAAATTTAGCGGACTAACCCCAGGTCTTCTTTTGCAAGTAGCAAGACTTACCGGTGTAACCGATGAACTTCCTTTCCCGGCCTGCAACTTAACTCGACAAGAAGAAGATTTACTAACTGAAGAAAACCACAGTCGCAAATCGGATAATCTGCGATCGAATTCCGATTCGTTTATACATACTCAGTATTCCAGTACGAATCGACAGCAAGGACCACGAACAATTGATTCGCTCACAGATGAAATGGTGACCACCATTTTAGGAGAAGGTAAAAGAATAAGTGTTGAAAAGATAGTCGGTACGCAAAGCGAAGCAAACCTTTCGGAAGTCAACGATAAAAACAGTCAAGCTAAAAACTCCGAAATCAAACTTCTGGAGAAAAAACTTCTTGAGTTGGAGAGCAATTGCTTACAGATCGCGTTCCTTCAGTTTGCTGCGTTAAAAGCACTTGGAATTTTCCTAACTTCGAATTTATTCGCCGAACTGTTTTTGATTGACAACCACGTGAAAGACTTTTCTAGAGACGAAAAGACTCTAAAGCAGATTATGTTGGCACTTGTTGAAAAAAGTATCCAGCAGTGTAAACTGCGAAATGTAATTACTGCAGCAGAATTCGAACGCGTCGAAAGTGTTTTACACTTGAATTTCGTTAAAGCCACAGCTAGTGACAACGTTGCTAAAATTGCTTCTTCTGAAGAAATATGTGAAGCAACAGCCGCTGCTATTCCTGAAGAATCAACCTCGCAAGGTGCCGCAGCCGCCTCGAAACCACTTCTAGCGTTTAATCGATCATCGCCATCTTCTGTAGTTTTGCAAAAACTTGCTGCGTATCCTAAACAAGCAAGTACTAGTACTAGAACTGTGCAGTGCGACGGCAGTGCACACATTTTCGGGTCAGAATTGCTGCCATACATTGATCCCGACGAAGCTGCAAATAGAAGACCATACCCTCCTATCGCTACTCACTTGTTAGAAATGGGCTTCCGACTACCCCATATAATGACTGCCATCAGAGAAACTAAATGTACGGGAGAGTTCAATGCTCAAACTGTCAATATGTTGGCCGTGTGGATGTTAGAACATCCGTATACCGAGCCTAGCAGCGAGGAAAATTCCGCCGGACAGTCGTCAAGAAGGCCCGTAAATATCCGGCAGTTTCAGGAGTTTTTTAGACAAAGGACTGTCGATTGTTGTGACACTGAACGAATAGAAAGGCGATATACTCATACTCCGTTAAGTTTGAGACGTGAACACTCTTTCGACGAACAGTTCAGTATTTTTGCGACGCCCCGAATTCCAGTGAGGTGGACACAGAGGCAACAAATCCAAGAAGAAATACAGCAGATTACTGGACGCGAAAGCGCTACTTCGCCAAGCGATATAATTTCTAGTTTTGTGGATGTAAGTTGTACAAAGTTATGAGAGCTTTAAACATTCTTTGGTTTAGATTCAACGGTCGTGTGCCATCTGTCCATATTGTGATCATTTATCTCCTAATATTAGAGCGCACGTGGAGTACCACCATCCTGGTTGTGGAATTCCTTGGTCATCAAGCATTTGTGGAAGCATTACGGGTAACTTAATATTTTGATATAAGTATTTTTTTAATAAGGAAAAGTGGATTTCAGGTAATTTGTACATTTTGTGTGCAAAATGTCAGCGGAAATATATTCATAAGAATCTCAATGAAAATCATCTGCAAGCGCAAGCTCCAGATATTATCTTTGACGAGCATGGTAATTATGCACTAAAAATTAAGTAGTAATTAAATAAAATGAAACACTAATTTCACAGCAAATTTTTGTGAGACATAACTCTCGTTTTTTTCAAGTTTTTAATATTGTACGATTATTTTAACGCACAGATCTATTAAGTAATAATTTAATATATAATTCACAAAGTTTTAAAACTAAAAATACGGAATCTACACGTATTCCTTTTTTTAGATGGAACTGAAACCGATATCCAATCAATGAAATTCGTGATGCCCTCGTGTGAAGACATATCCCAAATAAAATCCTACCTAGGCTTTAACGAGAATGAATTCAATCTCGAAACAATTCCCTTCTCTCATTTAGACCCCCTGGGCACATCATCTGTCCCAAAAGTGAATAAAGAAACTGAAAATAGAAACGATACAGACACCCGATTTATTGGTAAACAAGCACAAGCTCTACGCACTTCTTACGATAGAATTCAAGCTCTGAAACACCTAACAGCATCCATACATATAATGCTGTCCAGATCCATCGTTCTTAACGTCTTGTCTTTACTGTCTATGAGTACAAACCCTGTCACGTTAATGAACCGTCTAGAAATGATTGGTCTATCCGACATAAGAAAAGTCGTACGATTAATGACCCTAACGGCAATGAATCGAGTTGAAATAGTCGATATCCAGAATTCCGACGACTTTCCGAATTATCAGTTGTCTAATGATTTCACGCGTTTAGCAAGTCATTTATCACCGGAAGCTAATTCTTGTTTAAATCACTTGAGTGTGAGTATCGCCGCTTTGGCTCAGAATGACGTGAAATCATCAAACTTGGTAGTGAATCTTTGCACTAAGGATTTAATCATGTCAGCGATAGGTGTCTCAGTGCCCAAACCCGCATTTGCAGTGACTCAAGCGCTAGTCAACATTTTGTCAACACATGGAGGTTGTTCCTTGTTAGATTTACCAAAAGAAGAAGTTCCTTCAAGCCCTTTGAACGATCCAGCATGTTTGGAACCTCTGACTTTAGTCAACGCGTTAGCTGCATATGTAATGTCATGTCGTGTCGATCCAGAAAATCGCGAATGGGCTTCAGAGCAGCTCTTCAAAGCTATAGCTAGCAAAGTACAAATGTTGTCAGGAGCAAATTCCGAACCGGTTAATTTTGCTGATCTTACGAATCTATTACCGAAAGCCAACGCGGAATACTTCGACGGACATGACAACAGAATTTCTACGTTGGCTTGGCATGAGAAGAAAAGTCGACTTGCTTCAGCTGGTTACGACGGAACTGTTAGATTGTGGGTGTTTGAATCTAAAACGCAATTATCGCTAGATTCCACGCTAGTGTTTCACATGTCGAGAGATATTTTCGGGAACGAGCTACAGGGTAAATTAATCGGACATCTTAAATGGTCTCCATCTGGTGATTATGTTGCCGCTGCTATGGATAACGTTATCAACATATGGCCATTGAAGCAGTCGGAATTGATTGGGAGCTACGAAGATTGGTTCATTGAAGATGTGAAGGAATTTATCACTGCTTTAACGTGGCCTAAGGTGAAGTCGAATACAAGTGAAAAGGATTATTTGCTTGTTGGCAAGATTGATGGTTCTGTGAGTATGGTTGTCATCAGTGGAGGGGCTAGACAAGTGGAAACGCTCATCAACTGCTCGCTGAATTGTGGTAAGCATAACTGATTTTTGTAGAACATCTTGTCTTAAATTTATTTTGAAAATAAAAAATATATATTGTATAGTAAATTTTGGCGCAGTCTTCAAGGATCTCCTGGTTTTTATTTGATTGTTTCTAAGAGTGTGGGACAAAAAATCTGCACAAGTTTCAAACTAGCATAACTTTATTATTAAATGGAGAATTAAAAATGTGACTGTTAACATTTATAACACCAACTTTAAAGAACACAATCTGCACCATATCTACTTGCTTCGCGAATTTTTGTTCTAACACAGCATATTAAATTCGTGGTAGTTGATATTTTTGTCTACCAGATTTTCAGCATTTAATTCTGTATGTTTGGAGGCTTCCCACCCAATTTCACACAAATTCTTCTTTGGATTTCTCAAAAAGCGTTCAGTTGGTCGCAGTTAATACTACTAATAATAATAATACACGTCTTTATTTCAGATACATATACAGTACCTCTTGGAGGCGAAGTTTAGCTTATAGCTTACGCTTCACTTCTGACAAAAATAACCTACAGTTTACACTACATAAATATAAGAGAAATTCTAAGAAATGAATAATTATAACAGAAAAGGAAAATGATGAGATAAAAAACAATTATAGATTTAAAGAAGCTTACATGAAAAACAACCACATGATTCATTAATAAGAGTGTAAGATAATCAAATAAGTAACTTAATAGTTTAAGAATTGTTTCTTTTTAAATAAGTTGGAAAATACATATTTCTTAAATCGGGCAAAGGAAAGATTCTTAATGTTACGGTCTACAGCATTATATATCATTATATAACAGCATTGTAACTAAAACAGCGTTTAAATTTTTTGACAAATCGTATTTTCTGATATTCGATATAAAGCGACAACATAAATTTTGGATCTTCTGCATTCTACTTTTATGTATGCAATACAAACAAGGGTGATAAACAGTAATGACGTAAAATAAAACCGAGAAAATTAATGATTCCGTTAATTTTTTTTTTAATTTTGAAGTTTTGGAGAAACTTGGAAGCATATAATATTTTAACCTTAAGTAGACCGATTTAAGTAAGTAAGAAATATGTCACTTAAAATGTAAATCATAATCAAAGTGAAATGCCTAATATTCGAGCAAAATCAGTCCAATTTAAGACGTTACCAATAAGTTTGACTGTTACTACATTTTTGATCCTTTATTTGAATTACCACGTAGTATCTTTTTTTGAATTTGTTTTGAATCTGTCTCAATCAGGCTTGTGGGAACTGTAACTATATTAGGTGAAAAGTTAGTGACATTGTTTTCAATATTTAAATTATTTTTAGTCGCAAATACTTCATCAATATTTACCGTTCTATCTGGTGTCGGTGTTGGCGGAGTATTTTTTGACTTTACAAAAATTGCTCGTTGTTCAGTTTCTTCTAAATCATTTGCAGTGTGTATATCATCATTAACATAAAGCTTATTTCCTTTAATACATATAAGCATTCAGTTTCTTTTGTTTAGCCAAACTAAGATGGGCTCTTAAAATTTTGTATTCCTTAATTTCATCCGTGGTTAAATTGTTATTTATAATATAAATCCTCGAGCCTTTCAAATTTTTGCGATCTTGGAGTACTTCATATTTTTTAATACGCGAGATAAATTCAATAATTACCGGTCTTTTGTTTTGGTTTTTCCTAATAAGTAGATATTATTTAGGTCAGAAATGCCAATTTGAATCTGTAGAAACTCCTTTAATTTCTCACATACAAAAGATGCTAGTTCCGGTGAGGGTAAGCGTTCATTTGTTACTTCCAATCCAAAGATGATATATATATATATATATATTTTTGTTTGCTTTTTCTAGATACTTAATTTTATTTTTTAAGTACTCGTTTTCTCTTAATAACTGGTGACTTACGTTGGACAATGTACTAGATTCGGCCTGTCCATTTTGTGATTTAGATCTTCACGTCATTTACGAACACTTTTGTCCTTGAGAATAAACTCAATATTTAACTCATTATATGCAGTAATAACGTTTTCTGCGTATTAATGCAGAAAAATTCCTTAATTTTTACTTAAGTTCCAATTTTTGTTTTTCTAAATATTTGGAAGCTGATGTTCGCTTTGAAAGTATGACTTTATGACTCCCTTAATATGTTACTAACATACTTTTTAAGGCTTCTCTCTTCTTCTAGGTCATTTTTTTTGTAAGAGTAACTAGCGATAACAATTTTGTCCGGATTTTTGGTCCCCACACCCTTATTAATATTTTCTTCAGTAGAATAAAATGCTTTTAAAAAGTGCTGTTTCTCAAATTACTAGAAATTGCATTATACAATATATGCCGTAGTAATTTGTCACTAACCTTAAATTAATTATTAAGTAATTAATTATTTCTTATAGCCGTGGTCCAGGTTGACTGGAACAACGAAATCCAACCGTTCGCAATAGGCTATCTCGATGGCACGCTAAAACTAGGCTGGATCCACCAAAATAGCAACATCGTGACTGTCAAAGTACACGAAAGTGGCATAACAAGTTTGGAATGGGATCCCAGAGGCACTATTCTTGCTACAATCTCCACAGATCTTACGTGCAAGCTATGGCGTGAAGAAGAGGGCAAACTAATCTTGCTCCACACGTTAATCCAACCTTATGAACCAGTGAGTCTAAAGTGGTCACCATTGATAGGTGAACACAAAGCAGCGCTTTTACTCGCCATTGGCACTTCCTACGGAACAGTGTGTACATGGCGTCTACCCGACAGCGACTACGAAGACGCCATCCCAGAATTAATGATGCATGTTCAAGGTCATGCATGTAATGCTGTAACATCTTTATCTATACACGGCAATGGGTTGCTGCTAGGTAGTGGTTGTCCCAACGGAATATTAAACATTTGGTCACTGCATGACGGAAGTTTAGTTCAGACAGTTGTCGGTAGTGGCGGCATCAATCACAACGGTTTGTTTTGGTGTAGTTCTGATTGTCTTGCAGTGGCATTTCTGCGATCGAAAGCCGTCTGTCTGATCCAATATGGCGACAACAACTTGTCAAAGTACGTGTCTTTAACAACTGCACGGTGTGCTCTTATGAAGAGAGGTATTAAAGGATTGAAGACCGCTCCATTTTTCAAAACGTTGATTTTGTATTTACCGAAAATCATCAGTGATCAGTACAATGTGGAAAAACTACCCGTCCAAACCGGCACTCAGTTAGCTCATTCCACGTATCTTAGAAGTCTTTCGTCTCTCGCTATATTGCTAGAACTCGATAACGTCATCTGCTACAAACTGAAACCGTTCAATAACCAAGACGACTCAGAAGTGATACCAGAGATGCAGTGGTTACAAACATTCAGTCTCGGGGCGCAGATTGCCGATAGTTTAATAAAACGCACGAATCTCTCTGACAGAGTCATCAGTCAATCTCAGGTACTCGACGAGACGGTGAAACCTTCAGCAATACAAAATTGCTTCTGGACTGCCCAGCAAGACGAGCAAATCATGCAGTGGGTATCGCAGAGACCGCAAGATTGGCAAATCGGAGGTAAATGTAAGGCATACATGTGGGGTTCCGACCGCCATGGACAGCTAGCAGAGTTGGGTTACAGTGCTTCGGTACCCGCCCAAGTCGAATCTTTCTCGATAGCCCGTAAAATCGTCTGTGGCCAAAACTGTACCTTCGTCATTCAATCAAACGGCACAGTTTTGGCTTGTGGTGAAGGCAGCTACGGCCGACTAGGTCAAGGCAATTCCGACGACTTGCACTCATTAAGTGTCATCTCAAGCCTACAAGGTTTTGTGATCACGGATTTAGCAACATCTGTGGGTTCAGATGGGCACAGTCTAGCGTTAGCTGAAAGCGGAGAGGTGTTTTCGTGGGGCGACGGTGACTACGGAAAATTGGGACACGGCAATCCTGACAGACAGAGACGGCCTAGGCAAATCGAAGCCTTGCAAAACGAACAGGTTGTCCAGGTTGCTTGTGGGTTTAAACATAGTGCTGTGGTCACAATAGACGGAAAGTTGTTCACTTTTGGAAATGGGGATTTCGGAAAACTCGGACTCGGTTCGACCGCTAATAAGAAATTGCCAGAGAGAGTGATAGCGTTAGATGGTTATAAAATAGGGCAAGTGGCTTGTGGATTAAATCATACGGCATGTGTGTCCACAGATGGCATGACTGTGTGGACTTTCGGCGAAGGCGACTATGGAAAACTCGGCCTAGGTTACGCAACGATGAAACTAATCCCTCATAAAGTGGAAACTGTATGCAACATCGGCATCAAAAAAGTGGGTTGTGGAACCCATTTAACCGTGTTTTTGAGCAAAGATGGGAAAGTGTACGTCTGTGGGATCGATCGTGTACCGTGGCAGACCTTGTTAAGAGAACGCTCGGACTATAAACCCCAACTCATGACTTCTTTGATTGATCACGCTGTTGAAGATTTCGCTATTGGTACCGAACACGTATTATTTTTAACTTCCTGCGGAAAAGTTTTTGGTTGGGGAATGAACAGCGAAGGCCAGCTTGGTTTGCCTCACGTTTCTTTAGTACGTGAACCGGAAATTATAACTGAGTTGTCGGATAAAGGAATTCAACAGATTTCGACCGGCCGAACACATAGTGCTGCTTGGAGTGCCCCGCTTTTGCCTCAGAGAATACCCGGAGTGACCAGATCTTTGACTTTTGGGTTACCAACAAAAGTGCCAGCACAATTCGAACATTTAATAGGACTTCCACTTACATCGATTCAAGCGAGACTGAAATTTTTGCACAACTTTTCCGATAAGTTGTATTCCTGTTGGACATTCATGCCACTGAGTTGTCAGCAGAGTGATATGCAACTGCCACCACTTGAAGGATTGATTTCACCAAGATTGAGACCGCTTCTAGCTTCCAGGGTTTACACACTACCGTTCGTGAGGTGTATAGGCAAGACTATGGTTCAAGGGAAGAACTACGGCCCACAGATTATCGTAAAGAGAATAAATCAAGAAGGTAAGTTAAAAGTAGAGATTGAATTGAGGAAACATATGAGTATTATTTATACAATCCTGTATGCCTTGTATGTCAAAAAATGAAAAATGAACACGTCATATTTCTGAATATCGTAGCACGTAAAGAGAAACAAAACAGCTGATTTTTTTCAATAATCTCACATTTTTGGAGCAGCTGTTTGGACGTTTCATTAGTTTGATACAGTTCGTTAAATATGATACAGTGTTTTAATATTTTATTATTTATTTATTTATGGATATTATGTTTATTCAGACTTATTTTTTCGGATATCCCCTAAATAAGACTACATCATTTTAAAATAATAACTAATACAGGGTGACTCAAAAAAATTAATGAATGAGTCAATTTATTTTATTGATTAAATCAGGAACTGTAAAACCGAATGCTTTGAAATCTTGTAGACGTTTTAGAGTTATTGTAAGCTTGGTAAATTTTTAATCAACACGTATCTGTTTATCCTCCCCAAAATATTGATGACGTCATCTCAGAATTTTGCCGAATAAATCTTACCGAAAATGTGCAAAATATAATGAGTCTAAAGTATATTTACGGAGACGAGTCACCGCCTCAAAACAAACACATTTGCGTGATCATCACGTCTCGATTAAAAGGAAGTTCAGGTAGGTGGACTTCACGGAAATTCATCTTGCAGTTTCAGATTTTTCAGTGACATTAAATATTTGTTACTTATTATGTCGTCAACGGATTCTACAGAAGAGACTGTTGAAATGCACTAGGAGGCCTATAAGTTGTGCCGGGAAAAATATATACTCCTAATTAAATATTTATAAAACAGAGATGCAATTAAATCCCAATGCACTAATCGCAGATATTGCGTTGTGTGCTGGGATTAGTAAAAGATCCGTCTATCGGATTATAAAAGAGTATCAAGAAAATCATGCATTAATATCGCTCAAAAGAACGAAAGAAAGACCAACACTCTTAAGTAAAATTGACGATTGAAATCATAGTTTGGAGAAGGAAGTATTTACGAACCATTTAATTTTTGAGGGAAGAGAACAGAAAGATACATTTTTTAGATGAGACATGCATAAACCCTGACCACACAAAGAGCAAGGTGTGGATAGACCAGACCGTAAAGTCAGCTAAGCAAGCATTTCTCTCTGGGTTATCTACAGGCCTCAGAAATCATGCACGAAAGGGAAAGCGTATGATTATAACTCATATAGGCAGTGAAGCTGGATTTGTTGGTGATGGCCTATTGGTGTTCGAATAAAAAAAAAGCGGCGACTGTCATGAAGAAATGAATGCAAAAGTATTTGAAAACCGGTTTGCAAAAGTTTTTCTGCAGTTGGAAGATCAAGCCGTAATCGTTATAGATAATGCGGCCTACCACTCCCGCAAATTAGGAAAGAACCCTACGGCAGCCTGGAAAAAACAGGACATGAAAGACTGACTAGGTAATAAAATCATCGAGTACAGAAATGGCTCGTTAAAGGCTGAATTACTACAAATAGCCAAAGAACACAAAGCGGCTATAAACATTTACGCCGTAGACGAAATGGCAAAATCACAAAACAAATTAGTAGTCGGACTTCCACTGTACCATTGTGAGCTCAATGAGAGTTGAACAACATTATTGAAGTAGCGGTAGAGCCATTAGTTATTAGTTTAAATTCTAGCAGTGAAAGTGATTTAGAATTTTACTCCGATTTAGAATTTTAGAATGAACCAAATTTGTTTCATTTTGTTGTTTTAAGTTTTATTTAGTTCACAACTAGTCCGCAATTTTAATATTGCATAAGTTGAATTAATATTTATACATTGTTTATGTTATTTAATTATGTTGTTTTTTTATTGTTTTCTTTTATACTGCTATACAGGTTGTTTTTTTCCTTCGTATTTTGTTTATCTACTTTGCAGCTAGTTTTATTTTAGTATTAAATAAGTTGATTTTAATTTATGTTTATTTATTCACTTTGCAATTAGTTTTTATTTTTTTATATTACAACATTTCAAATTTATATTTTATTTTACTATGGTTTATTTTGTTTTTATTGCATTTAACACTATATTTAAATATCGATTAATTTTATCATGGCTATGCTTTTACGGAAGGGGCACTCATAGGTTGAACGGAGCATCGGTCGATTCACGTGATGTTGTTTTGACGCGGTGACTCGTCTCCGTGAATATACTATATACTCGTAATTTATGGTAGCATTAATATTTTTCAGAATTGCATATACAAGGTGACTCAAGAAATTAATGATTTAATTGATATATTTTCGAAAAGTTGGGCATACATACATTTGCAAGGTATAATAACGTTATATTACCAACACGGGATACAAGTCTTGATGGCGCAGGGGATTTCTAGGGGAACGGCGGTCGTGCGTTCGATGCCGAACTTGGCCCTTTCTTTTTTTTCCGCTTGCATGTTGATGTTGATGATGTCATCACAAATTTTTCATTGGTCAAATCAAGAACGAGTCACCCCATTTTCTCGAAAATGTGAGAATACGCACGGCTTTATATAACAACTAGCTGACCCGGCGAACGTTGTTTTGCCATATAAATTATTTCTAGTGAATATTTTGGTAGTTAAATAAAAAATTAAATTAAAATAAATAAATTATAATTAAATTAAATTATAAATTATACATAAAAATTTATCGTACAACAATGATTATATTCAACACCCATCTTGCAACCCTATTGCGCATCTGTGGATGAAAGTAAATATACTAATATCGTTATTAAAAAATGGGGGTTGGTGGTATAAGGGTGAAAATTTAGGGTTATATGTATTTTTGATGCCAAATCTTAAAAAAATAAAATAAAAACTTTTGTCCAAAAAATAAACTAAACATTTTTTGGGTGGGCCACCCTTATCACTTAGGGGTGTAAAATAGTTTACGGCCTATTCTCAGAACTACCGAATATACACAAAAAAATTCATAAACATCGGTCAAGCCGTTTCGGAGGAGTTTGGTTACAAACACTGTGACACGAGAATTGTATATGTTAGATGATGAAATAAGAATTACAGTATTCAGAACATTTTGTTCGATTGTGGTTTAATTAATAATTTTAGTCCTCTATTTTGAGAAGAGAAACTCTTCAAATCAAACTAATTTCTACGTGACATTCTGTCGATGTTTGAACATAAATAAACACTTGACCTTCAGATTGCGATTACCTAGTGCTGAAAGACATTTTATCCCGTTAGTTGTTTGATTTAAATATATTGTACATTGCCCTACTTGGGAGCGCAAATTCCAAGAATTTAAAAATTTTTTACTTGTGCCGCTGGTTTTTACTTCACAGGGGTTATAACAAAACGAAAATCGGAAAATCAAATTTTGTCATTTTTTAATGACCTGTGAGATTATACTTCAAGGGCGAGGGAAGTTCTGTGGAAATAACCTTCGACCAATTTTTTTAAACATTATGCTTTATGACATACGAAACCTGTTTTTGTTTTTAATTAACATTCGTTCTGCTGCTTGTCTAATGCATTCGTAACAATATAATAAAATAATACAAAAAGTTTCTGTTTCACACCATGAAAATTATGTTACTACAAATAAATAATTATAAGTTTCCGATTAAAATTTCCGTAATGAAAAAGATGTTTCTAACTTAAAAAAAATGTAAAGCCAAGAGGCATTAAAATGACGTATAAAACGTTCCGTATGTACAAATGCAGGCAGTTATTTTCAGTGTTGTGTTCTCTAGACATCACTAAAAATTTTCAGGGCGCAAGTGTAAGCCTATATTTATCCAAGTTGCTAAACAAGTGGTGGACATTAAACCGCAAGATTTAAGACTGCCTTCCCGAGCGTGGAAGGTAAAATTGGTAGGGGAGGGTGCCGACGATGCTGGTGGAGTTTTCGACGATACCATAACAGAAATGTGCCAAGAAATTACTTCAGGGGCTGTATCATTGCTAGTACCTACTCCCAATGCTGTGAATGAGGAGGGATTCAACAGAGATAGATATCTACTAAATCCACAACTAAACACTCCCCAGCATATCTCTTGGTTTAAATTTTTAGGTATTTAAGTGTACCTTGTAAAGTTGCGGATATTAAATGCCATTTTAGGTATACTATTCGGTGTCGCAATTCGAACTAGAAAACCGCTAGCTATACCATTAGCACCCATGATGTGGAAGTTAATCGTTGGTGAACTCGTGACTATTGAAGATTTAGAAGAAGTAGATTGTATGTATGTGCAAAGTTTGCGCAGTATTAGGGATATTCACTTATCTGGTGTCGCTGAAGAGAACTTCCACGATGTTATACCTTTGGAGTGTTTTGAAGGCACTAGTTGTACTGGAAAGGTATTATCTATTTTTTATTTGTTTCTATCATTCACTATTTTTTTAAGATCCTACCAATCGTTCATGGTGGTCGTAGTATACCCCTAACTTTCCATAACAGAGCCCAATATTTTGAACAAGCCATTAAATTTAGGTTACAAGAGTTTGATTTACAAGTCGCTTGTATTCGGGAGGGTATGGCGGGTATTGTACCCGTGCCATTGCTATCTTTAATGACAGCAGATTACCTGGAACAGTTAGTGTGTGGAATGTCGCATATATCAATTCCAATATTGAAGAAAATTATCAGGTAGGATTTCAACGTACAATTTCATTTTTTTAATTATCGATTGACTTAGGTATCGCGAGTTGGATGAAAATCATCAACTTGTTCAATGGTTGTGGAACATTTTAGAGAATTTTACCGATGCTGAAAGAGTCTTATTTATGCGATTTGTTTCTGGACGTTCTAGGCTACCGGCAAACTTGGCCGATTTGTCACAGAGATTTCAGGTAAGCTACACATTCGTTCCGTAACTGCGTCCAAAAAATTGTCTTTATACGCTTTACTTTAGGTCATGAAAGTTGACAAGGCAGTCAATGGATTACCAACTGCACAGACTTGCTTCTTTCAGTTACGATTGCCTCCTTACACGTCACAAGAAATAATGGCAGAAAGGTTACGTTACGCTATAAACAATTGCCGGTCAATTGATATGGACAACTACATGTTGGCAAGGAACACGGATCAAGGGATTGTTTCAGATGACGAATATTTATAAAAGGCTGAATCTTTAGTTAATATTTTGTTTGAACAAAAGAGATAAGTAAGATTTAAGTTACGCAACGTCGATTTTGTTTTTGTATGTGTAAAAATACATCTTTCAAACATGTTCTATAGTTTAATAAAAACCCTGTAACAATTAACAATACCTAATTAACTCAAGGTGAACGAGGCCCAAAATAGTTTAAGACAGCATTAATGACGTACCACTAAACTACAACAAAAATCTTTTACCTGTCATCCCATTACACAAGACAACGAGTAAAGAAATGAAATTGTGGAAGTACATAATAGAATGGAAAGTAATTATACCGTCGGTGAAGCAAACATGTGTTGTTCACGGCATGCTTAATTATTATGTTAAGCATCACAATGCCTTTCGTTGATTAATTCGTCATAGAATAATCTGCGATATCCGTCAACTTAATCAATATTTAACGATCTAAAAGAACCTTGCATTCCAAAAAGTTGTTTTCCGTTCTGATTTTCGATAGGTCTTCTCGATTCGTCAACTTTCCACCGCGACTGATCGGCAAAGTATTCTTTTAGAGCAATTACTTTCTTGATCCATTCATTTTTCATATCTTTTAGTTTTCCTATATTTCCACCATATTCCACTGGTAATACGTCTCTGGGAATGTAATCATACAATGTTTCGGAATTAGGAAGGTGAAAGTGTATCTGAAAAAACAACAATTAGCGAATTTCTCACAAGATTATTGTAGAACAGTTACCACAGAAGCAACTTCGCTTTTCATAAATGGTTTGAGTATAGCCAAACACCTGTCCAAGAAGGGTGGGATGTTAAGTACGTGAATCTGTTTCAGTTTGATGGGGTGAGCTTCCTAAAATTGTCATAAAAAAAATACAAACAAAACTAATGCGAAAACGGTACCTGGGTATACAACATGTACTTTTTCAATACCGGTAATACAATTTTGGTGAGATGTTTCAAAGAAAAACCTTCCATATCAAAGATAGGAATTTCTCCACTGTGAAACTCTGTTTCCGTCACTATTCTGGTATCAGCAATCATAAAAAATGTTTTTAAAGAATCCACAAAATTATATCTATCGGGATCCGGATCTGCCAGCCGGTATATAAACACCTTATAGTTTTCTTTTGTTGGTGATGGTAGTGGTACTAGGTCACTGAAACTTTCAAGTAAAATAACAATAATAAAAAAATAAATAAAAACAAACATTATCTTGAACACTTCTTGAATATTAGGGTCTGTGGGATCGCGGTTTCCGAATATTTCAGGAGCTTGTGAACGAATCGTAAAAAATAAATCAATCAAATGTTTGGTTTGCTCTAGGCTATAGTTACAAGTGTGCAAAAATCTCAAGAGCAATAAATCACCTGAAAAATAACATAAATACTAATACGTGTAAAACTGATCAGTTACCGATATTTTGAGGAAGATGGGGTTGCTTTGAGAGCCACTCTTTGATTTTTTCGATGTCTTCATTATGATTTTTCAGAAGCTGTGGAGCCATTGATTTTCTAACAATCACTGAATTGTTTGCTGTGTGAAGTGCTGTCTCTTCTAGCGAGAGAGGATACATAAAGTGGTTATACTTGTATGCATTGCCCCACTTTCCCATCAGAAACTTTCTATAGGTTTTAAAGCAATTATGGGTTAAAATACACCATTGCATGTTAGAATAAATATCGTTTTACGCATCAATGGGGCTAAAAAAATTACACTGTGTGTGTTTTTTTTTTTAATACTGTATTTAATAATTCATATTAAAGTAAAAACTAAAAAGTAGTCACATTTGATGATTTTCAGTAAGTACAATGTTCGATGAAATAAATTGCATTAAAATTAAATTTTTGAATTTAAAAAAATTGTGACGTCATATCCCCTCCACGTAGATCTTGATAGCAACGTGACATTTGACAGATCTGTCAAAAAAAATATATGATTGTCAAAAAAAAATACCATGAGAGAATAATATGTCAATCCAAAACTTCTCTCTCGTGAAGAGAATAAATAATATAAATTTAAGCAATGTTACCTGCCTTGTTAGATATTTTTCTAGAAAAACAAATAATACGGAAGGCCCATATGTGACAATTAGATCAAAACGTGCTGTTAAAAGTAAGTAAACGGAAAATTATAACGTGATGTAATAATATTCATTTGTTAGATGAGACAAAATTGGCCCGTTTGGATCCAAATTTTGAGTTGTTGGCGCCCTCAGCTGGATTTCCGTTTATTTTACCAGGTAATGTAGGAATGGCTTGGTACGACACAAATACAACAGTGCAGACACCCCATGAATTCGTTATGGAGCAGATCGATGAAGTAACTATCCATGTTAGTTGATTATCCAAACTAAACAAATGTTTCTAGAACAGTAGTTCACCAAGTGGAGAAATAGTTTGTCGAATCCAGGCCTGTCCAACAGTGTTGCGTCAAGGTGTCTGTGACCTTTTTCCATACCGCGATTTTGAGAGTTCTGAACTGTCAGTAGTTACAATTTCACTAAAACCCAACTTGAAATCTCTTAGAAAAAATAAAGAACTGGAGACGGAGCGTATGGCACAGTCTGTATGTATTGACAATATTTGAAATTGAACTCGTTAAAATTGTACCACTTTAGTTTGTAATCACTGCCAAAGGTGTCTGTGATAAGTTGCGGAAGGGTGGATATTGGGCTGATTTCATCAATCCATTTTCTGGTAGGCCATATTTATATCCAACTAGTGGAGAAAAACTTTATGAAGCTGATGAGAAATTTAGGTGCTTGGATTTTCAAATTTTTGACATACAAAATTGTAAAATTGTTTCAAATGAGCAAAGCTCTACAGACAGGAGATTTGTGGGTGAGTAATCATTTTTGTCATTGATTTAGTTGTAATATTAATGTATTTTTTTCACAGGGAGTTTGTTTACAAATGCCCCATCAAAGAAGAATCACCTAAATGAAATTTTTACTCAGTTTTGAACCTTGTAAATTATTTAATTCGTGAGAATTGAAAATAAAAATATCAGAATTTTATTTTGGTAAATTAATGTACACAATCAAGTTGTCAGGAAAAATTAACGCATGCGTAACGAAACAGTGGAAATTATTGACACACTGACAGCTGTTCTATAACTGGCAATTTGACAGTCACAAAATGACAGATGACATAAACAACAAAGTTGCGTGTATTTTTATTAATTAATTTGTGGATACATGTGGAGTTTCAAAATATTGAACTTTTAATAGGCTTATAATTATTAATACATTTATCAAAAAAATTACGTTAGTAATTTTTCACAAATTCAGACGCTTTGGAGGTTATGTTCCTTTATTATTCTTTCCATTTGATAGCGAAATTTAAACATTAGCAATAATGCTGGGCGTTCGCGTAAACGCGTTTAGTGAGAATGGTCTGGGGGAACCCGAACAAGATGCAAATTCAGCGTTGACCGAACTTGATAAAGGTTAGTAACCACCGGCATTATTCAAAACATAAACACATATTTTAAAGGTCTAAGATCTGGCAAAGTCGGAGAACAATGCGAAGCAATCGTCCGTTTCCCAAAGTTATTTGAGAAATATCCTTTCCCGATACTAATTAACGCTTCATTATTAAAGCTCGCAGATGTGTTTCGAATGGGGTTAGTAGAATTTATTCTTTAGATGCATAATCCTTTTTTTATAATTTTAAGAAACAATTTTTTACGTCTGTGTGTTCTCCGCGTGTGTCAACAAAGTGAAAAGCATCTGGATAAAATTTCAAGCGTTGATGAGTTTGTTAGGAGAATATACACAGTAATTCATAGTAATGATCCAATTGCACGGGCCGTTACGCTGCGAACATTTGGTGCTGTGGCTGCTATAATTCCAGAACGTCAACAAGTGCATCATAGTATACGTAGTAGTTTGGATTCACATGATAATGTAGAAGTGGAAGCTGCTATTTATGCTGCAATTCAGTTTGCAGCTCAATCAAAGTATATTTTATTAAATAGGTAAATTTGTGTATGGTAAGAATAAAATTTCAGAACTTTTGCTGTGAGTATGTGTAATAAAGTGTCAGATATGATCCAAGGACAGTCAACGCCAGCTAGCATGAAACTGCAGTTGATACCAATCCTCCAGTACATGCATCATGACACAAATACAGCTGCAATGGTTAGAACATTATGTATAGATTTATTACCTAGTTATCCAGCTCAGGATTTTGTGTTAGTAACGTTGAATACACTTACGCAATTGGCTGCGGCTACTTTGGTCGATGTACCAAGTCAAGTGTGTACATCATGTTTGTTATTGTAAAAAAAAACTGACGTTATTATTGTAGGTCACTTTACTTTTAAAATATTTACGGAATGATCCTAGAGGCGAAGTTAAATCTAAGTGTTTACAGTTTTTGTATAAGCTGGCTAAACCGGGAGCTCATTTGTGGCCACCTGGTGCCACTGACAATATTATAGATTTTGCTTTGCACGCTAACAAGTCAAAACTCTTAATGTTGGCACTAGGTAAGCTCTTTTTATCTGTAGCTGTACATTTGGTGGTAAATCATAATTTTGTAGGTGTTATTCAAGTTCTTACAGAATCTCCAAGAATGTGTCATGATTACCGCGATAGTAAATCAAAATTAAGAGAACTGTGCACCAAACATTGTTACTCGCCTCAAACAGACGTTGCAGTACAGGCCATACAAATCCTTACGCAAATTTTATGTTATTGGTAAGTAAATGCGGACTTTATATTTGTTTTTTGATACCTAGTTTTTTTCTTTAATTAATTATACCGGATGTCTGGAAAATGGCGTGTTAACGCTCCGCTACGCTCTTAACAATCAACTGGTGAGTGCGAAAAATAGTAAAAAAATTAAAACTAAATATATTCATTATCACAATAACCATGTAGTAATAAAACTTTTAGTTAATATTTCTCTCGTCCATAACCATGTTTAATTACCATTTCAGTTAGAATTTACAAAGATATGGTTGTGTTGCTTTTGTAATAAACTGATAAAATTTTATTTGACAACAATGTTTGCCCAATATAAAGCGAAAGTACAAATCAGCAAAAATCGACTAAGCAGTTAAAAATCGTATTAAAAATTGTCAAAGTTTTCAAAACCCTCGTTTAAAATGTTCGCAGTTAATTTTAAGTCGCCTGGTGTTTTATTTTCAGATAAATTTAAAGGAATCTGGTGTTTTGTTGCTGGATGAACTTGAAAAAAAAAATCACTGTTATCTAACCGGTACTAGCCCCGCCCACCCACCCTCTCTTTTCTTAAGAGGATATGTCATTTGCCAAAATCAGTTTTATCTTAGCAGCTTCTAGCTCCACCCCCCGCCCTCTCTTTCCTTAGAGGGTGTCTCATTTGCCAAAATCAGTTTTATCTTAGCAAGTACTGATGACTGACTTTTACAAAAAATCATCAACATTTGGAAACATTACGAGCTTACTTATATGCACAAGGCAGGAATTTTGAACATCTTGTCTAGTGTTTAGTTGGTTGTGCTTTAATGGATTTTTCTTTTGTTGGTTTTATTTTTGTTCATAATTTATAATGTTTTATTACATGTTTTTTTGGTTTATTTATTAATGAAAAATAACAGCTCGTTTTATTAATAATAATCCACAATGACTACTGGTTGTATAATAACCATATTGTCCTAAAAAAATAAAAAGTGGATTGAGTTACCATCGTCGTTAAGAAATCAGGCTTCACGCATTAGGTGCCTGAAGTGTTGCCCATTTTACTTTTATAAAATTACGTTTTTTTCGTAATCTACATCATAAAGAATTTTTTTATTTTTTGGGACTTCCGAAACTCCTGTACATAACGTACTGAAGAGTTAATCCGTCATTTTCCAGACACCCGGTATAATTTTATGAGAGATTTTAAAGAGATTGTTTAATTTAAATTATAGATTTTTAAAATTTAAAATGAAAAATAAAACAAAAACAGAGCTCTCATAAGTAAATTTTAAAACTGTTCTTGTCAAATTGAGTATGAGGTACAACTAATGAAAGTGTATACAATAAAGGATAAATGGAGTCAAATAAAAGTTTTTTCAACTTCAATAAAAACAAAGATGCATTCATAACCTCTCTTAAGTTAAAATAAAAAATAAGCGAATTATTAAACTTTATACAAAAATTTGTGATGACGTCATAGCAGAGACAAATATATTAGTTTGAATAGGTACAGTTTAAAGTTAATAACAACAGCACTGTATTTCCAAAATTTGAAGAAAATGATATAAGCCGTTTTTTAATTAACCAATAAAATAAATTGTTTGATTAATTATTTTTTTGAACGTTCTATATAAGCGGTTTAAATATATATGGCTATGTTGATTTTATAGCACATTTAGATAGGATTTATCTAGCAAAATTTTGAGATGACATCATCAAGTTTGTGGAGGGGATAAACAGATGAATTTTGATTAGCGGTTTACCATATTTAAACGTTTTCAAAATTTCAAGATTTTTAAGAAAAATTGTAAAATTGTCTTGTGCAGTTTTTAATTAAGAAAAATAAAAACTAGATGTCCAAGTAAGGTCGGATTAATAAATTTCAACTCAATTACAGTACTTACATTAAAAAGTTAAAAATTGAACATTTTACAAACATATTTTTACTATTTTGGAGAACCTAGTTGAACCAGAGCACAACATGGTATTTTAGATACAATTCCAAGTATTTACAAGTACATATGTTATTTTAGTTTTTCAAATAAATAGAATATATACTAGTAATGAAATGCTTGTGTAATAAAAATGTGGTTATTACTCCTAAGAAAATTGAAAAGTTTGTAAATCGGTCAAATTTTTAAGTTTTCGATTTTCAATTTTAAATCTATCCCAATATGAACTATGTGTCAATTGTGATATTATTTAATGATGCTTAACCCATTTTATATTACTTTCACAGCTACAAAGAGAAACTTGACACTGAAGGTGCAGAAGAAGTAATTTCATCTTTAGAAACTTTGATCTTATTATTAACATTTTCTAATGAAAAGCAACCGGAACAACTAAAATTAGCATTAAAATGTGCTGTCAGACTATGCGAAGCAAAAAAAGAACATTGTGAAACATTCGTGGAACTATTAGGAACAAGACTCGATAACATCCACAGTGAGATCTGCACTAAATATAATACTTTGCTGTTCCACGATCATTTACATTTTAGATTTAGACCACCGTACCATCGTAATCTGCGAAACTCTTGGTGCCATGGGTGGTCTAAAACCTGACACCCTTTTATCACTACTCGGCAATTTATTAAGTTTACTACGCGCTTTATCAGAGATTGAAAACACAACGGATGAACAAACCCGCACAAAGATTATGTTGTGCACATTAGTTTTCCAGAGCATGTCTGATTATCTGTGGAATGAAGAAACTGAAAGTGCTATACGCTGCGTCATTGAAAACAGTAACAATTTGTGGGCTAATTATTGCATAGCAAGAGCCGCAGTTCGGTATGGTCACCATAAGATAGCACATAGCATTTTTATTCAATTAACAGAACAAGTTAGTTCAGAACATTTCCATTTTTGGTTGGTGTGTTTAAAAGAAATGTCAGAAGCGGAGTCTCATTTACTTAGTAGCGATGACAGTTTAGTTACAAGGTTGGAAAAAGCGATTATTCATTACAATAAAGCAATAGCAGCTCTAAAGGTTAGTGTGTTAAGTAGGTTATCGATTTATTTATTTAAATTTTGTTTATTTTTCTTTCAGGCTGCTAGCACCCCATCTCATAACCTCCAGTTTCAAGCTGAGTATATGCGCATTCGTTCGGAATTTTTACAGTGTTTAATTCAATTAATTTATACTTGTAACACCCTGTGCATTGTTCCACCGCCCGCGATAGCAGCAACCATTGTTCAAAACACCCGTGACGAGTATCAAAGACATGGATATATCACAAATCAGTTGCGAAAATGTGTCAAAGAATTTAAAAATTGTGGCGATTTGTATTGGAAGCTTTACCAAACAGCATTTGATGCAGATCCGGCGACTTTAGAAAATATGCAGATGTGAGTATGTACGCTCGACAGACAACCACTATTCACGCTCTGTGTTGACAGTTTACAACAAATGTGTGTTTTGGTGGAACAAGGTGTCGAAAGTGTTTGCGTAAATGGTGCCAAAATCAGAGACGAACCTGTTGAATTTGGGGCTGAAAATATTAGACTCGAATCGCAACAGTTGGTGAAAGCTTGCTGCAATGCGTTGAAGATTGCACATGCGGTCGTTGATGACTCCTCAATAAATACAATCACACACCGGGTATTAATATTTTTTGTTTTTTATTTGAGAAATAACGTAACATTTTAGCATGTCGAACTGCTAAAAAAAATTACGGAAGTTTTGGCAAATGGATCTCTTCCTATTCCGCGATATTTTTTCCAAGTTTTGCAATCTACTAGTGTTAAGTTAGCCATTTCACCTCAACCTCGCGTCATGGGTGAGTTTATTAGTGTTCAAGCGAATTCCCAGTTGGCTGTGAAAGTTGAAGGGGTAATTCAACATGGGATGAAACCGGGACTTTTTAGAAAAATAGAGGAAGTTATGGTAACGGTTACTTCACAGATACAAAATAACAGTAAAAGTAAAGATGTGGATAATAAGGTAATAAAGACACACGATAACAGTGAAGTTGTGTAATTTATTGTTTTCAGAATACAGAGCAAAGTTCAGTATTAACTCAAGCAGTAACTCCTCATAAAGACTTTTTCACAGCACAGTTTCTTCTTGCATTTCCAAAAGGAGGTCAGTATTTATTAGTTGTTGAGGCGTCAGTAGTAGATGAAGATAGCAACACTTGGAAAACTGGTCCCAGGTCGACTCTAACTGTCAAAGTACCTGAAGAAGCTAAACTAACCCCCATTACTGTACCAGGAATGGCCTCCAATGCGAACGTGTAAGTTATTTAATACAAGTTTAAACACAATTAGTCCTGAAATTTATATTCAGTTCGCTACTTTTTAAATATAGAACTTACTTATAGAATCCTCTTAATAATGTAGACAACTCTTCATGCTTTCATGTTTTCACCCATTTCGTAATTTTCCTTCCTATAGAGAGCAACCACAAGATCAATTTAGACAGCCCTTTAATAAAATTAAGAAAGATGTTACTTCCATATTTATGATTTTTAATTCAGGGGCACTTTTCCACCTTTATAATTCGCCACTTTGCATTAGAACGCATTCCGCCATTTCAAAAACAACGTAGGGCTCCATTTTGTAGAGGTTTACACCTCATGACCAATTTTTAAAGTTTCGCGGTTTTTCAAATTTTTGTACGCATGTCTCAGTTTTGGCGGAATATTTGGGTTATCGCAACATCAAAAAAAAAAAACAAGCACAAATTAAACCACACAACCCCCGGTCAACAATGTTATTAATTTGACTGATTTTCAAGGTCTTTGCTCTCAAAGTGGATCAGTATTTACGATTAGTTTAAATGCCGTAAATGCACTGTGATAAAGCTCGAGTGAGAACTTTATGAAATGTGGATATGTGTAACACTTAAGTAAAAACATCCAGCACTTTTGGATATCGTTGTTATTAAAAATAAATTAACCTGGAGAACAGAATTTCCGTCACGTGTTTTTTTAAATAAACATTTACATGATTGTTATAAAATTGTATCAGAACCATGAACAGTGAAGTCTTAACAGAAACTGAATTTACGAACAGTAAAACCAGAATTATACATGTTGCCGGAATTCAAAGTTTTACACATTTCAGATTAGGAAATCATTAATAAACTGAGTTTGCACCAATTACAATTGTTGAGGACTGTGATGTTGAATGTGATTCATGTTTGTTTAAACAATTGCCTTTCGTCCTTGTAAACGAAACATAATTATCCATAGTAGGAAAACACTTTCTAAATTCATGCATTTTTTCTTTTTTTTTTATATATTAAAAAGTATGGGGAAATAAAACAATTTTGACTTGAACAACACACTTCACCCTTGTTTTTTATTGCTTTCTCGGTAGTGAATGATTGTTTAAGTAGTCGAATAATTTCGTTTTTATTGTTATAATAAACTGTGAACTTTAATTTCACATTCTAGGATACTGATGCCCGAAGATAATCTTTTTATCCGCCCGCATCAGAAAAAATCGTAGAAGAACGCAAGAAAGCAACTATTAAATAGAAAATGTATTTATTTAACATGTAACAATTGTTCAATAATAAACATATAAAATCAGATTCAAATAATACCGACTCGAATTTCCGTTGAATCCAAAGGATCCTTGTCCATCTCTCTTAAAACAATCGTTCGCTTCGGATCAGTTTTACCCCCAGTCTTACTAACTAGCGAAATATCGCTAATCACAATATCGCTACTAACCGCTTTACACATATCATAAACGGTCAGCGCGGCAACACTGACAGCAGTTAGCGCCTCCATTTCGACGCCAGTTCTCCCTTCGCACCGAACTGTTGCTTGGAGCTCGATTTGTTTTTGTTCGTAGTTTAGCGCCAGGTCCACCCCTACTTTAGTTAAAGGAAGATTATGGCACAAAGGAATGAGTTCAGATGTTTTTTTGGCACCCATAATACCAGCTAACTGGGCTACAGACAGAACGTCTCCTTTTTTGGCGAGGACTTGTTTAATTAGTTCGCTTGTTTGGTAATTGATGCGGACAACCCCCCGAGCGACTGCGGTTCTGATGGTGATGTGTTTGTCAGTGACGTCGACCATAATGGCTCGACCTTCTTCGTTGAGGTGACTTAATTTTTCGGAGGAGGTGCCAGTAGAGTATGCTCTGAGGGCTACGGGACTCGATATTGGTTTGAAGAAGAATGGAAATGAGGAGATTTTGATGGGCATTGGTGAAGTGTTGGTGGAGTGACGATAGTGATGAGGAGCTGCAACACAAAAGTTTTTTCAAAATTTTCATAATGGTGTGACAGTTTAGATAGAACGGTGCATGGGTACATGATAAATATTTAATATGATCGGAATAGGAGCACGAGTATCTGAAGCAGAGGCAATACGCACACAGTACAGAATTGTTAATAAGAGGAAGAGAAATTTGTAAATTCCAATATTTACGTTAATTTTGTCTATAAGAATATATGTATTGTGGAGGAAAGAATATAATTATATTTATTTATCCACTCTGTCTTTTATTTTTGTGTGTAAGCAGTGCGTGTGGATGTTAAATACATAGTCACTGGTGTAAGTTCTGGTAAATTTTTAGAGATAACGTTTTTTATGTCGCAATGATTGCACTTTTCATCTGTTTTGTAATTCTTGTACACATTTGATTAATCATAACTTGTCTAGACCTAAGGGAGGCTCAGCATCCCTAGCCTCCCCCTAACTACGGCCTTGTCTAGGGCTTATGAAATATCGAGAAAATATGAAAGTGCCAAATTGCCCGACGAACTCCATTACTGTACGTCCTTAGGTTATCCTCGATAAGAAAAACAACTTGAAAGTGTTTATGTTCATACATCGGAAAAATGTCACGTAGAAATTAGTTCGATTTGAATGAGTTCGTCCCCGCAAAACGGAGGATCAAAACTATTAAGTAGTAGCTACAATCGACAAAATGTTCTAAATATCATTATTAGAATTCTTATTAAATAAAGATGTTTGTATTTTCACATTTTGGGAACAATGTATAAGCAAATGTAAAAATATGAATGTAATGATAAATTACAAGTATAGACTGATCATATTCTGCACATTTAAGATGTGACGTCATCTCATTATTGGTGGGGATGACTAGACACATTTTGGTTAGCGTTTTACCATCTACATGATATTCCTAATATAAATACAAAATTTGATAACAATTGGCCCAGTACTTTCGGGAGATTATCTCTATAATAAAAATCCGGGACGGCAGACAGACGGAAACGGTAGACCCATTTCTTCGTACTGTAGAGGTCATGAAATGTGGAGAAAACGTAATAGTAGAGAGTCGGCCCACGGACTCGGTTACAATATTTCCATAATTTTTCAACCCCAATTAGCCGACAATGAGGAAACATATTATCAAAATTTTGAACAATATGCGCACGTAATCAACAACTAAATTGATAAAAATGATATTTATGAGTTTTTATAACCTAACCAAATTTATTCCTTTTACCATGATAACAACATGTTAACAAGTGTGTACACATAGCCAAAATACATAATAGACATCTACCTTCTATGTAGCACAGGTTCACGGATTACTAATAACAAATCAAGAATTTTTGATAGAACCAACAACAAAATAACTAAAAATGCGGCACTTTTAGTGTCCGTGTCCGTTGTTCAGAGTGTCTGTTGTTTGGAGGATTCTTTACATTATATGACCTATTGTACAGTAAACTCATTTGACATAGGTACACCTTGTAAAACTTTTATGACTTAAGCGGTTTAAGCCAAAGCACCCTTATAAGTCAAACTGGCTATTTTATAACTTAACTCAGTTCACAGCTCCATTATGGCAACAATGGACAGTAATAATCCTTGCGGTTCGGGTCTATAAAGCTTACACTAGCTAGTTTGACTTAAGCCGCTTAAGTAGTCATAAAAGTTTTACAAGGTGTATGTCAAATCAGTTTACTGTACATGATATAAGGTACGTACAAAATTTGACAACAATCGGTCCAGTGGTTTCGGAGATTACGTGTCTAATAAAAATCTACGTTTCGCATCGAACGTGTGACCATCAGGTCCGCGTGCCAATGTATAAGCCACCACTCCACAGACGTTCACATACGGTGATTTTTTTTGCGAAATTTGGCCATTTAGGGAAAAAATTCAAATCGGATTCGTATATAGTATAGGAGTGTTTATATTATTGTAAGACATTTATATCATTTTATTAACCAAATTTTGGTTAGCCTTTTACCATCCACATGATATTTCTAATATACGTACAAAATTTGAGGACAATCGATCCAGTAGTTCCGAAAAAATTACTAATGGATATTCTTGATACATTACGAATAAAAATTGGTCTAAAGTTATTTAGATAGACTTTCGTCGCCCCTGAAGAAAAATCAAACAAATCTAGTTTCTTAGACCTACAATAAAATTTTATAAAGTGTGTAAACTGCTACGCGTATGCTTCAAATAAATTTTTATTAATAAAATTTCGTGATCATCAACTTTTTGGCAAAACCACATATATCAATTCGAATATGTACAGTGTAATACTAATAACAACAGACCTGTATTCCCAAAATTTCAAGACAATGAAGTACTCCGTTTCTGATCTAATAAATAGAGTAAATTGTTAATTTATTTGGGTCCCCTGTATAAGCTATTCTAAAAAATATTATCTATAAACCACAAGTACGGACTCACAATATTTTTCACATTTTAGATAAGATATGTAGGTACTTACTTTTGAAATGTTTGTTTATTCTTATTTTATTGTTCATTTCTAGTTGTTCTTATATTTTTCTCTTGTTAAAGCAACTCAACAGGCGTATGCCCAGTATAACAATTAGTTGTTTTGCTGGGCATATGCCTGTTGAGTTGCTTTTATCTATTGTTATTATTATTATTAATGAAGTAAAATTTTTAGATTAAATCTTTGGGTGGTATAAACACATAAATTTTGACTAGTGATTTAGCATGCTTACGATAACCTTAAAACGTTTGCAGTTTGCAACTGAAATTTTTAATGCAAACTGTAAAATAAATAAAATCAAGGTGGATTCATAAAATACAAGTACAGACGTAAGTTAATTTATAAAATTTAAGTAACATTTGCTGTGCAAAATTTTGAGATGACGTCATCAAATTGTTGGTAGGGACAATTATATTATTTTGGTATTCAAATATATATTAAATTTCACAACAATCAATCCGTTAGTTTCGGAGATTATCTATCTAATAAAATTTACACAGGCGACAAATAGACGGAAATGGAAGATCTATTTTTTTTTCATACTCTAGGGTTCATGAAACATTGAGAAAACATGAAATTATCCGTCCATTTAGCCGTAGTTTTTGAGTTAAAAACTTTATAAAACAGTAAAACTCCCACCATAACTTCAGTATTCAGTAATATTTTTACAAAAAAGCAGATTTAGCAATATCGGACAACATTATGTACAAAAATGATTAATTTAACAATACGAAACTAGGGCAGTTCCTTGAGACTTGGTACTTCTCAAATTTGATGGACGATTGTTAAATTAATCCTTTGAGCACAGTAAAAATTTTCATGGGTGTACTTTTTCTAAGCGTAAGACGGAAATGATTTTAAAAGAACCACAACGAATCTTCAACAAAACATATTTACCTTAATTATATAAATTCATACAATTTAGCCACCAATAAGAATCATTGGACGATTTTCCATTTGAGAAAGATTCAGCATGCCTGCAAGAGGTTTTTAAATGCAAGATTTTTCAAATCTAACAAGCATGCAATTTCTTTTACCATTAATAGGTACAAAATACATTAATACAATTAAAATATTTCAATTGCAGACAATAAAACAAAACGCACCTGCATGCTGTTTCTTTTTCCTCTTGACTGCGGCATTAATTAACGCCACTAAATCGTCTTCGCTGCACCCGCTTCTTAGCGCATCCCTTAATGAAATTTCTGTATTTCCAAACAAGCAAACTTTTAAATTACCGTCAGCTGTTATTCTCAATCTATTGCACGATCCACAAAAATGTTCACTCATTGAAGTGATGAAACCCACTTGTCCCTGATATGTCGGAACTTTCCAGGCCTGTTCAAACAATAATTTAACGTGTAAAAGTGTTACAATATTGAAAAAATTAAAATACTTTCGATGTGTCATTTGGGCCATTGTCTAAAGGATAAAAATCAGGAAATTCTTGTTTAATCTTCTCAACCATTTCTTTGTAAGACAATAATTTATTGAAATCCCACTTGTTACCAGTGAAAGGCATGTATTCAATAAAACGTACATCTACGTTTCTGTCTTTTGTAAACTTAACAAAGTCAACAATTTCTTCTTCATTGAAGCCTACAATTATTATTCAATAACTGGATTTCACTTGGTGCTGTTCTTACCTTTCATGACTACACAGTTCACTTTAACTGGGTTGTAGCCCAGTTGCAGTGCTAAATCAATACCCATCACAGCACGCCCCCACCCCTTACGTCGAGTAATAAATTCATATTTATCAGACTTTAATGTATCTAAACTAATATTAAGTATGTCTAAACCTGCTCTTTGTAAATCTACTAACTGGCGGGTTAAAGTGAGGCCGTTTGTGGTCATTGCTACAGTTTCGAGGCCTTTGATCTGTTTTAATTTTTCTATAAAATGTAAAGTGCGTTTTCTGATTTTTAGATTTCTATCATTTACCTATTATTGAAACTAGATCTCTCCTTACAGTTGGTTCACCTCCTGTTAATCTAATTTTTGTGACTCCTTCATTAACAAATAACTGAGCCAGATGAATGATTTCATCGGTCGTCAGTATTTTGTCATGTGGTGATAATTTCACCCCTTCCTCAGGCATGCAATATTGGCCTAAATATAAGTCAGAATTATTCATAAAATAAGAAACGTACTCCTAAAACTTACACCTTAAGTTACATCTTTCTGTCAGAGATATCCTCAAGTACGAATGATGTCTTCCAAACAAGTCTGTGAGTGGACTTTCTACCTGATCACTGACCTACATAATTTGTGAAATTATTAAATGGAGATAATATAATAAAATACCTTAATATTTCCCTTGTTTTGAAATGCTTCAACTGAAAATAGACGACAAGGTCTTTTCACTAAATTTTGCAGATGGAAGCGAAACATTTTTAAGTCGCGGCAACAAGTGCACTTTCAAAGGAGTGGGTTATCAGCTTTTTGCTCTTTTCCAATTTTTAAGATAACACTATCATTACTTATAGAAACGTACACCAACGAAAGTAAACATAATTAAAAACTTGTTTGACCTTGCACATGTAGTTATCACATTTCTATACTTTTCGCATTGCTTGCAACACCAACACCTGAGAACGATATATTTAATAAAATGAATAAAGAGGATACAGTTAACAACCTTTATGAACCTGCAAACATTTTCATGGAACGTGCTCGTTTACTTTAAATTACAGTACGACGCTGTAATTAATAATAATAACGCTATAATTATACGTCATGAAAATTAATAAAATGTGTACAATTGATGTTATAGCTAGAATATAAATTGATCTGACCTTCGTTAGTTGCGATTGCGATACATTTGTTGGCACAGATTTGTTAGATGTTAGATGTTTGTTGGTTCATAATCAGCTGACATTTTTAAAACGCGCGCCAAAAATTAGGAATAATTTCGTAAACTTGAACGCCGCATGCCCGTAATTCCCCGAAAATTTGAATAAAACAAGCTAATATTTTCATCACAAATACTGTATATGATAAATGTATGGTTTTTTTAAGTTGAAAAATTTCAATTACTCGTAAATATTTAGTGATATTATAGTATCTGCCGTAATTTTTAATTTATTTTTTAGTTGTTGAACAATTTAATCTATACTTTTTGAAGAAAAAAAAATTCAAGAATATTTGTTACTATACTAACTTAAGAAAGAGTATTTAATTGTCTTTTTTGTAATTGCCAAAATTACTAGAATTCATCTAGTTTTATTAGCATAATTACTTAGCAGAATATTTGAAAAAATAAAAATTCATTATTCCAAATTTCACATAAAGAAGCATATTGTGGTGACCGAATTTAAATCAAAGTTTTCGCGCTGAAATTAATTAACAGCGGCGCGAAATCACATTTGAAAAATTTAAATTTGAAAAAAAAAATTTAATCACGAAAAGGGAATCGTTAAACATAGGCAACCAAATAAACATGTTGGGTTAATGCATGATCTTTGAGTTAGATGGCAGCACGTAGGGCTAGGGAGATTTCAGTTAGAGGGTTGGTAGAGAAGCTGCATGGCGTAGAATGAGTCATTACGAATGTGCTTGTGTGAGTGTAACCACGTGGTAAGCGCTAGGTTTAAATTAGTTGATTTTGGAATTTACAACACCGAGACGCTTTTTCCTCGCAACGATTTTAAAATTTACATCACCGAGACGCTTTTTCCTCGGAGCGATGATTGGATATTTTTCTGTTTGTTTATTATGTGTTTTGTTGGGGTAACCAGTTCGCGGTAATTTAAACTTTCAAAGTAAATTATTTTTTAAATAACCCATCATTTAGATCATGATATAATTTGACATAACGTAAACTTTCTGTTTGAACCGTTGATGAAGTGTGGCAAACATTAATCTCATGTAAATTTTGTTAACTCTGCAAATTTTCGCCTCATACAATATTTCTTAATCTCACAATTTTAACCTCAGTAATTTTGTTTGTTGTATAATCTTAATTGAACGTAAATTTCATGTTCTACAGTTTTAACCTCCCATAATATGTCTATTTGTACAAGTTTATTTCACACCAGATCTTCTGTTTCATAAATCCTTGCTACGTTTTGTTTTGTAAATACTTTGTTGATGAATGTTTCTATCGTATAAATTATTTGATGTCCTATTTTAATCTCACATAAGAATTATTTGTTGTTTAAAATTTCACAAGGTTGTATGGCGAATCTAAATGTTGTTTATTGCTCTTTGAAACTTTAACACTTGTTCAGTTGTTGTTAACATCAGAGTTATAAGAGATTGAATATTTTAAAATGGAATTGAGGTTAAATGACACAGAAAACGTGGCAGTAGCGAAGTTCGGTTCCTAGTCGAGCTGGCGAGATTTATCGTGCCATCTGTACAAGTCCACAGGTTTGGATTGATTCAGGGGCGGCCGCCGATGTTGTAAATTTCTAGACTTCGTGCTAGCCTAGATCTCTTGCGGGTTGGACGACCGTAATGGCCTAGTTCCGCAGGGCACGTTCGTAATGGAGATATGCGTGTGGGGTAGGCTGTGCGATAGATAGAATCACCGTCGTGGGGGGAGAACAGCTCCAGACCGGTAGCCCAGACTCCGCTTATGCTACAACGCCCCAGGGGCACTTTGTTATGCTCCTGTTAACTGCCGTAACTTAAAAAAAAGGAATCTGCCGCCACACGCCTGTAATAACTTGTGTATTTGCATCCAGTTTCTTGATTCAGTTTTTACTTTGTTTATTAAACTTGTGATATTCAAATATTTGCATTGATTCCAAACAGATGTATAGAATTTTCCGTTTGTTCGTTTTTCATATGTGTATGTCTGTCAATTCGCGAGTGTTTTCTTTCATATATCTTAAGGTGTTTGAAATGTAATATGTCCGGGAATAAAACAAAAAGGGGGTTTTTGCGCTGAGGAGTAAATCTTCGCAGCGTCTTTCCTCCGATGAGGGGGTGCCGTGCTCCCCCCTCCAAAACAATTTTGTCTATTATTTCTTGCGCTCTCAACTCACATGCAGTGTATGCACTTGTATCAAAGAACGTCTCTTCCCGCCATTTTTCAAAAACAAAAAAAAAACACACAACCTAGGTTCCTATTTGTTAGACGATCACAGCCAAGGCCAAACTTTGAATTTTTAAATTTTTCGCGGGCCTTTCAAACTGTTTCAAGGTCAATTAAAAGGCGGGAAGATTGGGTTATCACAATATCATCAAAATCACGAAAAAAAAAATTCAATCTAAATTTCTGTTAATTTGTGATTTTTCTGATTTGATAATGACTGATGATGATAAAAAGACGCCTTCTAAAGATTAATCATCAACAATACATCAAGCATATATAGGTACTCGTAAGTCACTAAGCGTGCGGTTCTCGATACCTTATTATCTCGTTATATTAGAGAAAAAATTAAAGTAAGTTGTATGGTCCTATTGTATGCTGTTGTTACGATGAGCGGGCGCTTAAAATCGGCGTGTATTAAACTCAACAATTTATTTCTTACAAACTCGAATTACACGACTAACTATTACAGCGATTATGTACAAACTATTTCCGGCGCAATTGGGCTCTTCTTAACATTCGCCAGACTTGTGGTTCGACTGAATGCCTACTGCTCTCGACGGTGGCCTCTATTTAAACCTATGCGTGCCTCTCGATGTATCCAGAACGCCGCATCGAGAGTTTTCTGGGCCCGCATTCGAGACTTCCGGTAAACCGCTCCAGATTTGCCTTTGTAACGCCGCGCCGACACCGTCAGCAATGATGACTCACCCATCAACGCCGTGCGTACGTCCACAAAGCTCTCGACGGCCATAGGCATCGTGCTGGGACGGCGTAAGGGTGTATTTCGTAACACTGCCCCCCTCTTCAATTCTGATCGTCCCGATAGGACGCGTCTTCGTTGTTTCCTTCGTACCGTTTCAGTCGATCAAGATGAACGATCTTCATCTTCGTCTTCGGTCCACGTTGAATCTGATAAACCACGTCATTTATTCTAGTGACCATAGTGTATGGACCTTCCCAGTCAGGAGTCAGTTTTGGGCAACGTCCCTTTTGTCGTCAGGGGTTATACTGCCACACTAAGTCACCTTCCTGGAATCCGCCACAGTTGGCCTTCACATCGTAACGGGTCTTCATTCGGTCACTGGCAATCTTGATCCGGCCCCTCACTAGTTCATGCACGTTGACCAACTTCTCCTTCAGTTCGTCCACGTAGTCACGTACTTCGATATGTTCTTCGGGTCGCAATCCAAAGACTAGGTCACAGGGTAGCCGCAATTCCTTCCCAAATACAATGTCAGCAGCAGTGGCGGCTCGTGACTTTTTCTGTTGGGGGGGCAAAATTAATACACAGTATTATGCTAAATTTAAAATTTATGCTAGGTAAAAATTAGTGTTTCTTCATTTAGAAAAATGTCAAGTTAGAGGTCCGTTAGCCAGAAATTATCGATTGAAAATTGATAATTGAAAATCTATAATTTCTGTTTACCATCTGGAACCACGAGGAGGTGGACCTAATTCCATACTTCCCCAACAGTGATGGGGCTAACTCAAAGTTCCTTTTAAATTTGTTGACAAAAGAAATATAAATAAAATTTTGTTAATCGCGTGTCCAGTAGATGCAATAGTTATCCCCCACTTTAAATTCTTTTCAATTTTTTTAATTAATATTTCTATATATAAAATCCATACGTCTTTCTTTGTTACGAACAAAATGTTCTATAACTAGTTCATTGAAATTCGTGCTTTCTTGCACTAGTTTTTTTTCTATTGAACACATTGCCAAGGCACACAATCTTTCTTGACACATTGTATTTCGTAAAAATGTCTTTATACGTTTTAACGTCGAAAAACATCGTTCGCATTCACTTGTCACCATCGGTAATGTGCAAATAATTTTCAATAATTTTTATGTTTCTGAAAATACGTCTAATAAATTGTTTTCATACATAAACTTCAAGAATGTTAAGGCACCATTTGCTGTTGAAAAATCGGGATGATTATAAATAACGTTTAACTCATTTTTTAACACATTAAGATTTAAATCATATTTTGTAGTACATAATTCAGCTTCTTTTGATGGAAAATTTAGTTGAAAATATGAAAATAAGCTAGTCTGAAACAAATTTGCTGCTGTAATATAATCTGCTTCTAAAAATCGATCATTTATACTAAATTTAATATTATCACAAATTTCTTTAGCAATTGCAATTTTATTATCATTAAAATGAGACCGCTTTTTTGAAGATTCACCCTCTTCGTTTTCTTCTCGGTAATAATCGTAGTCGATAGAATCTGTTACATGTTGTATGGCAAGTTTAAAAGAAGTAATGTTTTTTTGAAGTTTAATTAGGTCCATTTCGGGAATTTGAAGTTGGTTGAAAAGTATCTCGGTACTAGGCATGATTCTGTGAAAGAACTATTACCAAAAATTAAAATCGTAATCTTCTAATGTTTTCCGTAAACTACTTGCCTTGGCAATTGTTAATTTGTCACTATTTTTATCTTCCATTATAATTTGAAAGCAGTTAATCAAATCATTTTTAAAACTATGTACAGTATTGACTATTCGTGACTTAAAGTTCCATCTAGTCGGACAATTTCTTGGTAATCTTTTAGAAACGATATCATCAAGTATTTTTATACGTTTAGGAGATCTTGAAAAAAACGAGGAAAATGATTCTAAATTTGAAAAAAAAAGTCTTACTTGGCCGTGTGCTGATGCCGCCTTTTCTATAATTAAATTCAACTGGTGAGCATAGCAGTGAATAAACTGAGCTTTAGAGTAATGTTCCTTGATTTTTGCTTGTACCCCATTTTGTCTTCCACTCATAACCGAAGCACTGAGATATAAGTTTTTTT